AATTTAAAAAGCTACATAAGAATGCAGTGAAGACAAAACTACAACATCATGCCAAGACACGTATTTGACCCATACTCGTTACATTTGTAAAATTACATAACATACATTCTCCTCACATGTGATGGGGCATTCCCTATGTTTTATGATAACATGCTTATGATGAATTGCATAACTGGAAAATGCTTTATGAAAAACAGTTCTTGCAAGGAATCCTTAGAAAGCTTGTAATCTACTGAATGCGCATATTCTATTTGTATGCATGTATCATTCCTATATTTAAAGTCAGAAATATGAAGTATAAACCTGTTTTACTAATCTAGACATGCTAAATGTGGGTACTTCAGAAACTTGATTGCTCATTGATAAAGATAATGTTTTATAAATGGGTTTGTTTATCCTATGAACCAGTCAGTAGGAGAGGCTCAGAGTCCCCTTCAAGGACACGTGATCATGCCACCGGATCCTGGAATCCATCTTGAATTTTGTGCTTTTCCACAGAGATGTGGAGGAATTGAACAAAGGTTTCCCATCTTAGGGAAATTCTATATAAGGCCAGAGAAGTAAACAATGAAAGTAAATCAATGCTGAAAGAGACAAGAGGGTCTGGCTCAGCAAGACAGAGTGGTGGGGCACCACAAAAGGTAGGTAGGCAGGCTCACTGACATTTCAGTATATCAAGTGATAGACTCAAGGGGATTTCTGTGACCCAACCCATCACATTTACATTATCTATTCTCTTTTAATTTCAAGATATATGAAATATGTATAATACAACTATTAATATTCTAAACTACAAAACCAAGTAGTTGCCTTAGAAAAGCTGAGCAAGGCAAATGTAATTTTTTTTTATTATATTTGCTTTTTAAAAGACAGTTATAAAATTGTGAAGTTATTTCCTGAAAAAGATGCTTTATAAAATGTAACAACCTCTTAAATATAATGTACCGAAGAGCTCTCATTTATATTCTTCTATATGAAAGACAAATAATTATTCACTTTATATGTTCTATCTGGTGAAAAAAAATCTTAAAATGAAATCCTGGCTTAGCTGAAGTCAATATCAAAATCCCCTTTGATTTCAACTGAGGCCAAGACTGCATCACTTCTAGATTTATTTTCTAATGCAATTAGTTATAATGTCTGTTTTAACCTAGAAGTTTCTAAAACCAGATTAAGAGTAGATGGGAAAAAAAACCCACAGAACAAAAAACAAAAAAAAACTCCAAACCTTTATGATGTATATGACAAGTGTCTTTCATTCTCATCCTACTTACAGAATATATGACCAAAGAATTTATGTACTTTTCCATACACTATATTTGCATACCCTCCTGACATGATCTCAAGCCTACTCCTGGCCCTTTACTCCTGCATCACTGAGAATTATACTTTTAGAGCTGCTCTCCATCAGCACCACAGTATTTGAAACCTATTATTTTGTTTCACTCTGGACTTGTTGCCTGATTTTGAATTATGTTGAGATATCATTGGAATAACTCTTTTTAGACCCTAGGATCCACTTTGGTTTTGAATTATGCTGTATTTTCGCATTCAGTCCTGTATTTAGTTTTGTTCTTTGTCTGTATGTTGTTAGTTTTGTTTGTTTTTTTAGGAGTTATATATGGAAGAAAAGAAAATGTCAACTCATAACTTTCTTCCTTTATTTCTGATTTCTTTTTCAGTAGGGTTAACTGCTTTGACTTCCTGGGGATATGTGCAGAGCTTTATTTGTTAGGACATCTGGTAAGCAGTCATCTCTTGGAAAGTCTCAGTGGATTCCTCTGAGCAAACTTCTGATGAGATAGAAAACTCGTAAAGCATGTATATTTCTAGAGCAGATGCTTTCTCCTTTGTCTTTCCACAGAATGAACACAAGGAGATGTGCCAAATCTAAAATATCTTTGAATATCAGGAAAGAACCAAAATGTGTCTTTAGATGAAAGAAGTGCTTCATGTAGTAAGCAGCATCTCAACATAAAAATAACAGATGCTTCTGCAAGAGGGAGGAAGGACTTCTCTGTTTAAAGACCCTGAACAAAGAAAACAAGTCAAAGCTGCTACACAAAAATAATATATTAAAAAATCACAGCCTTAATATTTTCTCTTTATACATCTCATAGGAACATAGGGCATTTAGTACCTTTTGTCTGCTTTAAAAAAAAACCTTAATGTGACAGTTGCTAGTGTCAGCCATGTATTTTTAGCAAGTTCCAATAAATGCTCATTAATTTAAAGAGTTACTCTCCTTGGCATCAAAGCACATCGGACATGCAATGACATATGAGGGGTCTCCTGCATCTCCTCACGTGGAATAGCTCTCTGAAAACATTTGCTCAATATGCAGTAGCAGTCAAAAAAAGCTAACAAAGTTAGAAACCATTAGGAATGACATATGATAGGACAGAAAATATTAAAATCCATGGTATACTAAACTAACTCCTTGACTACTGCACACAATTCTGGTCACCTCATGTAAAAAAATTTGTAGAATTGGGGAGAGAGGAATTGAAGAGAAGATCAACAAAAATGATTAGTTGGAATGGAAGAACTTCCATTTGAGGAGAAATTAAAAGTTCTTGGGTCAGTTCAGCTTAGAAAATACAACCAACAGGGGAAATGGGAGACATCTATAAAATCATAAATCATATGGAGAAATTAAATAGGAAAATGTGATTTACCCCTTTGCATAACGTAAGAACCAGTGGTCACCCAATGAAATTAACAGGCAGCAAATATAAAACAATAAACAGAAATATTATTTCATACAAATACATAGTCAATCTTTGGAATGAATTACCAGGGACTGTTAAGAAGGCAAAAAGTATAACTGGGTTAAAAAAGGAATTAGGCAAGTTCATGAAGGATAGGTCCATCAATGGCTATTAACCAAAGTCGGTTAGGGACATAACCCCAAATTCTGGACATCCCTAAATATCCAACTGGTATAAGAGAGCATGGATCACCCAAAACAGCCATATTCTGTTCATTCCCTCAGAAGAATCTGGCACTGACCACTGTCAGTGGAAAGGCACTAAGCCAATGGATCATTGGCCTAACCCCATATGGCTGTTAATCTCAGCAACCCTTCCCAGTAAATCATGAAAACTTTTATAGGCATCCAGATAAGAATACGCCAAACAGATTACTGTCTCCTCTGGAGACAAAGACAATATATCCAACTGGATGTAATGTCCCTACTTGAAGCTGTTCCTCCTCCTCAGACTTCCTCTGCAGGCTGAAGATCATGAGGGGATTCTGACATTGCACTGTTATGTGTTTCTAAGTAGAAGTCTCATTATGAGGTGGTACATGAGGAGGATACCCATTATAAAGAAACCAAGGATTCTGGTATGGCCACACAGGAACATAAAACCGGTAGAAAGCTGGGGCGCAAGGGGAAGAATCCCAGGGAATATGGCTACTCTCATAATTCCTATGAAACTTAAGTTTACAGGAAACGCTAGACTCCCTTTCAAACCTTGAGTTGTGAGTTCAATCCTTGAGGAGGCCATTTAGGGATTTGGGGAAAAAATCTGTCAGGGATGATACTTGGTCCTGCTGTGAAGGCAGGGGACTGGACTCGATGATCTTTCAAGGTCCCTTCCAATTCTAGGAGATAGGCAATCTCCATTCATATCATAATTCTATATTATTACATACTGCAGATGAACATAGAGTACACTTTCTACTATTATATACACAGCTTTTCCTCATTCTCATTAGTATTGTAATATGCCTTTCATTTTCTAAAAGCTGGTCAAAACGTATTTTAAAACAAATCTGTGGTCCAGTTTGGGTTGGTGTAGTGTTGTGTAAATATGTAGTTGTCTGAGGTGCGATTTTCCAAAAGCTATCTTCTTACTTGCCTTTTGGCTTTTGTCAAAAATAAGAATATACCATATTAAACATCAAGGAAAAAAGAGACACTAACAGTACATTTTCATTTATTAAACAAGAAGGAAAGAACGAATGTGCTGAGTACTCCTGAAGAAATTGAATAGGTAAAGATTAACATGTGTGCACAGAACTGAATATCATAAAGTGGGGAGTTCCCAAAAGTGAAAAGTTCTATATTCAGTTTCTCCACAGTAAGAGGAGATGGACGCTGAAAATTGTGGAAATTAATGAAATTTCAAAGATATGGATTGTTAATTATAATTTGGCAAAAGAGAAGAAGATCTGTATAGAAAACTAATGATAGGATAACAAGAAAATCTGTCTTCTCAGACCCAGCACAGAATCTCTTCATTTTCCATTCCTACTTGATTAGATCTTTGTCCGTGCGTTTAGCTTGCTTAACTTATCTCCCTCACGAATGACTACCATCTTCCTCATGGATTAAAACACATATAAAGGAAAATAATTTTGATCTTCGTCTTAGCTTTCAGAGTAAAAGAGCTTGGACCAGGTCTCAAGCCCCAGAACTCTCCATCTTGTGTGCTAATCATGAGGAGTAATTAAAGGGATACTGCCTCAATAGGAAAAGAATATGATGCAAAAGTGGAAGGGATAAGGCCAAGCCCAAGAGCCTTGTAAAAAACACGGAACTATCTCCAGTAATTGCCAGAAGAGACATCTACCCCAAACATCTTGAATTAAGGAAAGAAGAAACAGCCAGAAAAAGTAAATGGTTAAAACCTTTCAGGTATTCTTCATTATTGCATGAATACCTGAAAGGTTTTAACCAATATTCATTAACCAATATTCATCCAATATTTTTCAAAAGGAAGAGTTAATTAAGTAAACAACAAAACTCTATAAAAGCAGCTTTTAATGACCATAACTATATAACCAAAGCTGTTGAGTGTTTGATACTTGCCATGCTTGCCCACATAGTTATAGCATTATGTTTCTAATACACTACTGTAAAGCACTTAAGGATAACTGAAAGGTAAGTAATACTCTATAAAACTATATTCTATATTAAGTTAATCAGAATAAAATATTACACAGAATATACACACACATGAGAAAATATCAGAAATATTTTGATACCTTACCTGAATAAGATGAATTAGAGTAGTTAGAATGGCACATCTCAGCATGTTGTGCTCCTCACTTTGTTTCCAAAGGAGGGGTAAATACTGAACCAAACATCCTACATATGGTCGTATCTACAGTCAAGAAATTAAAAATGATAATATTTGTAACAGAGTAAGATATTTTACTTACTCATGAAACTATACAAAAGCTGTTAAATCTTGAAAATGTTCACACATTACCTTTGAGTTGCAAAATCTAGGTTCAGGTGGTTTCGTTACAATATTAAATATATTTTTTAGTTTTGAACTTGCTCTTTTTTTTCCTTAACAAGAATACCCAGCATTGCAGGAGGCATAAGGGACCTGTCAAAAAAGGCTTTCTGTCTCGTCAGATCCCCCTCTAGACTGCCGCTTTTTGCTGGCAAAGTGCTGAGTCGGCAAAACGCGGCAGCCATTTTTATGCAAATTAGGGGTGGGATATTTAAATCCCTGCCTCATTTGCAATGTCGACCTGCTTAATCTGCATCCCTCTGCCGACAGAGGGATGCCATCTAGACATACCCAATAAGTCTAAGAAATTTGCTTAGTGATTTGGTTCTGCCCAAGTAAACACCTAGGGAGGGAGGAAGAGAGGGAGAGGACATGCGAGAGAGACAGACAGACAGAGACAGATAGAAAAGGAAAAGAAAAAGGAGAGAAGGAAAGGGGAAAAGGAAAGAGGAAAAGGAAAAGAAAGAAAACTGGAAGGTGAGTATTATGGTTAGTATCAGAGATGTAAAATCCCATGTAATTAGTTAACCGGTTAAACAATAACTTTAACCAGTTAACTAATTATACAGGGGCAGGCACAGGTTGGGAGTTGGCAGGTTCACGTGACGGGGGGAAGCCAGAAGGGGCATGGAAGAGGCAGTGGGGAGAGGGGGCCTAATGGACCATGGGCTGAGGGCTGCTCGCAGATAATGTGTAAGTAGTTACCCATTTACATCCCAAGTTAATATGAAACACAGAAAAAACCTTAGGTAAAATTTTTGGATGGAACTGGAAAGATGCCATTTTTCTTGAACATAGTCAATGGAGGGTCACCATTACAGCACCAATATCCCCAACCCTTCATGAAGAGGTGATACCCAACAAAAAGTCTGTCTTCAGAAAAATGTAGCAAAGAGCAAAGTTGCTCAAAAGGTTGTTTCATGAGATGGTTAAGAACAAGAGGTACATTTAACTACATCCCTTTTTTGATAAAGGGATGTAAATTAGACCTATTGAAATTGTAAATGAAGCTGGGATTTGAATTTGTCATGCTTCATTTACATAATGGTGGCCACAGCTTCCCTCCCCAAAAAAGCCGCTTTTCGAAAAAAAGCCGCGGCTGCCATTATATAAATGAAACGTGGAAAATTCAAATCCCAGCTTCATTTACAATTTCAATACGTCTAACTTCATCCCTTTATCGAAAAAGCGATGTAGTTTAGATGTACCCAAGGTGAGATCTCAAAGTAGATTAGCATCTCTAATCTGCAGAAAAAGATTCGTAAGGTCTTTCAGGAATCTCACTGTGATCAGCTGGGCAGACACTAGGAAACTTCTACTAGCAAGTGAAAAGCTATTACTGTCATTAAGTGAACCTTGATAGACTAAATTCCAATAGGATGATGGCAGTTACATCAAAGATGATATCTTCAGAAATGGAGATGATAAGTGTCTCTCAGTTTCCCTCCTGCTATTTAACACAACATGTTGTACTCCCAGTGAACAGGACTCTTTCTTATCTCATCCCCAAAAAACTGAGGAGCCATATTTGGAGTTACAGAACGTTCAGAATGGAGTGAAGTGTTCAAATCACATTCTGAGAGAACAATCGATAACTGATCAAAAGCTACCATGAAGGGTGAGGGGAGTCTGATGAGATAAGAAATCCAAGATCATTTTACCATTTTGGTTGAGTCGGTGCAGTCAAAATAACCTTCATTCAGTCTGCTCAACCTTGTTGAGATCCTTTAAGAGCCCTGGAGTAAGTGGATATGCATAAATAGACCCTTTCTCCATGTAAAAAGGCACCTCCTACAGTCTAGGGATCAAATCCTCCTCTGGAATAGAAATTTCTATATTTTGTATTGGTTGAAGTTGCAAAAAGACGGACATCTTGAAAGTCCAACTCCAAATAGTCATAATTTAGGGGGAAAATATCTGTTGAGGTTGTCTGCCATGGAATTTTGTATACCCAGGAAGTAAGATGCCAAAATGACTATTGGTTGGTCATGCACTGATTCCACAGCTTTATTACTTCAGTGCAGAGAGGAAGAATGTACTCCTATCTAATGAGATTGATATAATACATACAAACTATGTTGCCTCTTATGACATTTATTGACTTTTTTCTGATTAAAGGAAAAATAGGAGATAGATATTTCTGACTGCCCTTAACTCCAGCAGATTGATATGTCAGCATTCTTCTTGTGACCATTTTCCTTGGGCAGTGTGAGCACCTAAATGTCTCCCCATTCCAAGAGGGCGGTGTCTAATGTTATGACCATAATGCTATCATGACTCGATCCACATTAATGAGTTTCCAGCACAAACTTTGGAAAGATCCTTCCACAAGGTGAGTGATTGCAGGACACCACTGTGTACAAACCACTATTTCTTCAGACCTGTTTGTTAGCTACATAAGCTGTCTGGAGCCACTTCTACATACATCAAAGTGACAATTTGGCTTATAAAAACTAAGATGTCACATTATCCTAAAATTGCAGGCATGTCCTTGCTGGAAACTGAGGAAGGAGCAGCATTTGTGGGATAAGGTTCTTCAAAGAGAAGAACTTGTTGGAAGGGAGATAACCCTATCTATCATTGAACCAAGAAACACTCCTATAAAAAGCATGTATGTGGAAACCAAGACCCATTTCTCTAAATTTATTTGTAGACCTAAATTATTAACTGCCTACAGAACCTCCTGGTAAGACCAGCTCTCTGTGAGACAGTCATCAAGATAAGGAAAGACTTATTCCTAGATAATAAAGGTGGGCACCTATGACTGCCATATTTTTTAGAGCTGAAGAATGTCCTGAAGATTTTGGTGTAGTATGTGACTGTGACCAAATGTGAAATTCAGAAATCTTTTTTTGAGAGGGATGCACTGCTGCATGGAAGTAGGCAGCTTTGAGAACAAGAATTACAAATCACTTCCCAGATTTGTAGCCAGACAGAACCCCCCTATAACATCCATTTTTGCTTGCCTGGAGCATGCAGGGCACACAGAGCAGTAAGCCTTGAACAGAAGGCCCGGATATGCAGGATACTGTGACCCTGAATGGCTGTAAACAGAGATAAGCCAATTGCTGACCAGGAGGCTGCAGAGGAGTGCCCTTGATTGAAACCCATATTGATACAAACGCACAGCCGTCCGTGGGGGGGGAGGAATCTCTTGCCCAGTAAAAAAAAATGTCCAGTACTCACAATTTAGTTCTCTCTCTTGCTAGTGTAAATTAAGTTGAAACTTGCTTGTAAGAACTGGCGTCACAAAGACAAACTAACACAATTTGGCATCTTAGATAAGAAAGAGGATACGGGTCCCTATGGGTATAAAGATGGGTCCAGCAACACACTTACTCTGAGTGTCAATCTACCATCTATCTGCTGTTAGGGTTAGGTGTTTGATTCCCGAGGTTCCACGGGGACGCTCACCTCGTATTCGTCTTTCCTAGGAATTCAGGGACCGGCCCTGGCTTGACCCGCTGGAGTCGAGAGGCACAGAAAGGGGTAAAAATTGTACCTGGATGTGGTCCTTTGTCTTAAGTGTACACATAGACTTCGAGCTCTCTAAAGATTAACGTGTCACTTGGTACCATTATTTCTATTTTCTATCTTTATTTTTCCTTTGTAACCATTTTTAAGATCTATATTTGCTAGCAGTTAAGAAATAGAGCAACAGCCATTGTAACCATATGATTTATAAGCATCTTTAATAAACCTGTAACTGTTTAAGCTTTACCCTGACTCCTTCAGTTGCTATAACAGAACTAAGCACAATTTAAAAGAACTTAAGCCAGTCATAAGGGACAGATATAGGAAGAGCTAGGCATTTGGATCATGTCACTTCCAGGGGACAGATCCGTAGGGGCATCTCTCACCTTCCCTAGACTGCCCGCTGCGAAGGGATCCTGTATCCTAGCAGTTAAAATCTGAGATGTAATAAGCTCTTCCTATAAACTCTGGGGCATCTGTCAGCCTGTTGGCTGCCCGCCGCGACGGGACCCCAGGAGGGAACTACTTAAAACTGTTTCACTTCGCTAAGTAGATTTTCCTGGTTGAGGGTAGGGGCATCTCTCACCTTCCCTAGACTGCCCGCTGCGAAGGGATCCTGTATCCTAGCAGTTAAAATCTGAGATGTAATAAGCTCTTCCTATAAACTCTGGGGCATCTGTCAGCCTGTTGGCTGCCCGCCGCGACGGGACCCCAGGAGGGAACTACTTAAAACTGTTTCACTTCGCTAAGTAGATTTTCCTGGTTGAGGGTTTTCGCCTGCCACACAATATGTGCTGAACATGATATGAACACCCTCTTTCATCCTCCGTCAACCATGAAACGACCACCATTCATGACATCTGGTGGAAAGCCATTAGTTTTGGGTGCAGCAAATTGCAATGGTTCCATAATAGCAGATCCATAGAGACCGGCTTCCATGTATGTGGATATTCGTAGCACATTTTTTCAGCTAGGCATGTGGATACAGATACAAATTTTGTGTTTAGAACTATGCAAGTTTGCAGATAGCCGCTTTATAGCTGCAGGTATCCAGATCTGTGGATGTCACTGTGGATATTCACAGCTCATTTTTGTACATACAGATGTAGATACAAATTTTATATCCACACAAGGATCTACAGATCCAGTCACAGAGGCAGCAAGAAGGGGTCAGTTGTTGACAGGTCCAACAGCATGCAAATCTAGTGCTGCCAGCTGCCAAGGATGACATGAGCATTGTCTTGCTTGATCTTCAACAGGACCCTGTTCGGTTAATGGCACTGGTAAAAAGGCATATGTGAGTATCCCTGCTCATGGAATGAGGAAGGAATAGGAAAAGGAACCTTTATCCATACTCCAAATGTAGCCCTTCCTGTTCTGCCTGGACACCAACAGGTCCCCCTGCGGAGTTCCCCACTGATGGAAGATTTTGCTGACAACTTTCGGATGGAGGGACCAATCATAATGAGACAAGATGGTCCTACTGAGGTGATCAGAAAGGACGCTCCTAAAGCCTCTCTGCTGCTGCCAGCTGTGAGGCTCTGTTCTGGTGGCAGTGGAGGGCCTGGATTATACAGGGAAGGTATGATGTGGGGCGGTCGAGCGAAGAGGCAGGGTGGCTGCAAGATGGAATCATGCGGCCACCAGGCTACACTTCTGGGTCCTACTGAAGGCCAGTAAAAACTACCATAAAAGGATAACTTCTTATAAAGTAATCATTTCACATAACTAATTTTTTCTTTACCATAGTATGCTCAACAAAGCATGAAAATTGTAAATTTTGCCTTATTTATTACATATTTTGTATGCGTTCTCTCACTATTTTGATAATGGTTGTCCTAGCTCTTACTGGTTAGGAGGAGTTCTTGGACAGACAGACATACAGAACCTCTCAAATATATAGTAGATATATTCATGAATGTGGCAATCTCTTATACCATTTTCATATAACGGAACAGTAATAAATTTTAAAAAGGCCTTCTTTGCTCTTATAAAAATGGACATATATACTGGGCTTCACATTTTATATTACAGTCTGTTACAATTACCTGTATATTGACTCTTTCAATCACACAAGAAAGAACATGAAGAACATGCATCTTTGTGTCACATTCTGTGACTTCCTGAAGCAGCTGAAAGAGTAGCGTGAACATGAATTCCAGATACTACAATAAAAATAAATGAGTAAATTATGAATTAATTAGATTGTCAAGAATACAAATAAGAAAACTGCTGGTTTAGATTTCTATCTGCTTATAGCACTGGCCTCAAATTTCTCATGAACTTTCAGTGTGTTAAGTTCTGTAACATACTGGTATTGCATTTTGAAAAATAGCAAACACACGTTGACCATCCATAAATACTAAATTTAACTATAGAAAATTTCAGTACCTAACATGTACTACACTTGAATAACAAATCAAACATGGGACCAGTTTCAATAAGCTATGATCTCAGGTTTAAATTCACTAAAATTATTTCTAGTTTAGTTTCCTATTTTTAGAATTTATCAGCACCTCTATAGGGAATAATATGCAGAGGCCACTTTATCTAGAAGCAAATGAGGCAACTGCTGAGTACAGCAGGAGCCAAACCTCAGCAGTACTCTATAGGGGAGGGAGAGCAGGGGTGGCTGCTGCGAAGCACCTGGTCATCATGGCTCGCACGCAGCCCCTCAGTCATGTCAAAAGGGACAGCTGGGCCAAACCTTAGTGAGCAATACTGCAAGGACCCTCCTCCAATTATGCTATGCTAACCACTAAAAGATAAGAATCACAGCAATCCACCTGCCTCCTCCCAAAAAAGGTCTGTGTGTACTATCCTCTCCCCCGATACCGAGCCTCTATTCCAGTGGGTGGTAGGAATGTTAGCGTATAGTTGAGTAAATGATAAATGGATAAGCCCAGGCTTATTGCTTAATCCTATCAACTACATGAACCCCCACCCCCGCTACCTCTGTATCAGAGGCAGCAATAGGAGGGAAGGAGCAGGAGCCGGTGCTTGCTTTAAGCAGGCTCCCCACACCTCTGCTCCAGCCTGCCCCCCTCACCTGCTGTGCTGCTGCCTCTCGATCAGAGGGGGACAGGCTGGAGCAGATATGCATGGGGAGCCAGCTTTCAAGCCAACTCCCCCACACATACTGGCTCCCATGGATAAGCAAAAGCTTATCAGATAGTCGACTAGTCCCTTGACTAGTTGCTCCCCCCCCTTCTGCTTCTATCAGAGACAGCAAGGCAGGGGGAGCAGGAGCTGGTGCTGGGGGGGCGGGGATGCTGGCTTAAAAGCTTACTCCCCCCAGCACCATCTCCACAGGAGGCAGGCAGGTAGTGGGGACTGGGCATGAGCCAGGAATTAGCTGATTCCCAGCTCACACCTAGTCCCAGACGCGCTTCTTCTTTTTAAATGTATTAAGAGCTAAAAGACTAAAGCACAGCAGGGGGGACACAGCACAAGCTGGGACAGCTGATTCCCAGCTCGCTCAGAGTCTCCCTCATTGTGTACCAGCCTTTCAAACAATCCAATTTAAATTTAAAAAAATCAAATTTATTCAATTATTTTTTAAAAATTATTGATTTTTTTTATCCACCAATTGTCAGGAGGTTTTTCCCTTGATTTTGTGTCAGATAAGGTACGTTTGTGGCAACCTTAATTGTTCAATAGCAAAGCCTCTGTGCAACAAAACAGTAACTTTTTTCTTATCAAAATTAAATCAACACAGCAATTATTGAACAGTTTATTTTAAAACCAAACAGGAATAATTTCTTTCCCTCTTTTTCTCCACCCACACAAGTACTTACACACACATAAATGCCCTTACCGGTAAAAACTGGTCAGTTCTAAACTCAAAGTCATCTACAGGTGAACAATAGTTAAAGAAATACTGAAGATTGAACAACATTGTCACAGTATCTTTCACTCAATCTGATATTCAACTGCTAGCCAGACTACACAATTGCTGAAGTGAGAATTATTAATTATCAAAACCCATTAATTTCCAGTAGTTTGAATAAAGAGCTGATAAAAGAGAAAATTTTAGTTGATAAAAAGGATATTTAACTTCAGAGTTGTGGCTGTTTCAATGCGAACCTGAAAGACAAAAATCAGGAACTGGCATGATATTACCCTTATTAAATATTACTTTGATTATCTCACAGAAATTAGTGTAAGATTTTCAGATGTGAAATTGTTAAGTATTCATATGTACTCTACACATTTCTAGGGACAAAATTTAATTAATTTAACACTGACATACTTCTTTATTTTCTTAGGGTTTTTATCTCTCTCTCGAACAAAAGAGTAATGTCATCACCACCCGCCCACTCTTACCCCCAAAGAGGGGAGTTGGTGAGCAGAGCATACAGACACCTAGTATTGTTTATAAGGAAAAGTTTTTGAATAAATTAAAATTTCTCAGGATTTAAAAAACTACTACAAATTGCCAATAATCACATTACCTGTAGGACCTACTCAGCTGTTCCTACGCAGGCAAAACACTCAGTTAAATCAAATAAAGACTTCAGAAGTAGGCCATGTAGATGTGCTGTGAATTCTTCAGACAGAGGAGATCACCTGTTTGAGATAGTTCTCATGGGCTACCACCACAAACCCCTTACAGGGCTATGAATGCCCTACTTCCAAGAATTCAGACAATTATAAGAAGTAGCAGTCAAGAAAATATTAACTGCAGTCAAAGCTTCAACCACAGACATTCAAACCTGCCCCATCTAGATGGTAAGAGAGAACACAATGGACCCCTAAAAATAGTGAAAATTTAAGGATTCTATTTCCTTACCTTAAACTATGCTGTTGGTCATCAAGCACCAAAAAAAAAAAATCAGTGCTCAGACTTGAACCTACTAACTAGAGTCTAACTAATGGAGACTATTTTTTGGCTAGCTTCCCAAATGCTAGTTGTCAGCTGCTGATATCCTGCTTTGGTCCTGACCATTTAACAAGGGAAGAAAATACATATGTATTTCCTGGGAATCTCACTGCAGTATATGGTATTGCTGACCACCAAGCAAACCTGTACCAGACAAAGGAAGCTGCAGAGGTGAACAAAAATGCCCTGATGTAGCTCAAGAACTTCCACTCAGACTAAACTAATCCAGATAGGTATTACTAACATCTGTTCTTCCACTTCAAAATCAGTAATTCAAAATACCCATGGTTTATTCCTTCTCCCAGTATTACTCAACCATATGATGCCATTAGGAGAGCTGGTAAGACAATATAAACTGAAGTACCTGCATTGAAATGACAAGTCATTCTACATCTTTTACATCAGATAAATTGTACAGATTGGACCTCTCTGTACAATTGCACCTTTGGGCCCTGACCCGTCCTGAATGAAAGAATTTGCCAGACAGGAGGTGGTCCCCAGACATCCCCAGACCACCTTCCCTCCCCGCTGCTGGCCCTAGCTGCTGTGGCCCTGGCAGCCCAGACTGCCCCCACCCCACCATTGGGGCTACCGCATCTCCAGCCTTGGTCCTGCTATTGGGGATGCTGCATCTCTGGTCCCAGTCCTGCTATGAGGCTGCTGCAACTGCCACATTGCTGGCCCCAACCCCACTACCGTGGCTTCCCCATCTTCCATGTCCCTGGCCCTGCTACTGGAGTTGCCGACGCCTCTGCTGCACTACCGGGGCTCCAGTGCTTGTCCCAGCCCTGCCGAGCTCTGAGCCACCAGCCTTCTTGCCACTGGGGCTCCCAGCCAGGACTCCCTAGTCCAGGAACACCTGTGGTCCTGCTGTATCACAGATGCTGCCGGATGAGGGAGTCCCAGTTTTGAGAAGTCCAACATGTACCATTTCTCAGAAACTTAAGTCAGACCCAAAAGCCTTGGGGCCATCTGGGACTCAGAGCTAATGAATGCTGAAAGAACCTCGGAAAGTAACGAAGCAAACACTCACTTCCATCTCCAAGCAGCCACAACACTGAGCTTAATCCCATTGGAAACAGATCTGGTCACATTTCTACACACAATTATGACTTTTGGGTTTGTTCACTGTAACTCATTGCCAAAACTGTTGCAAGAGGAGATCATTTTATAAATAATTGTAAGTTGTTCAATTGTGAATCAAAGGGGCCATAAAAATAAATCTTACCTTACAAATGTTAAAGCGAAAGCTTTCTTACATATTCAAATAGGAGTGTAATTTTTTGTGTGCAGTCCACATCAGACTGCCAATAAGAAGAGCTTCCTATTGAACTGCTAATTGGTCTTTATTATATTTAAGATACTTTAAATATTTTAGTAGTTTATTCTTAGTAGCTAGATGTAATGATTAAAAAGAACATTATTTGCAGTAATTTGTTCTACAAGAATGTTGCTTCTATATAGCCATACTTCTGAGGTTACGGTATCTATATTGTAAGCCACTGGAATCTTTCAATGAGCAGATTATGTTTAGGCCAGTGTTCCCTGAAAGCTGTACACTTGTGCAGCCTCTCAGGAGAAATTTAAATGCCACCCAGTTGAATAGCAGAGTGCACATAGCTTGGTCTTGCATTTCTATTGGAGGTGCACATTTGCACATAAAAATATATTCTGCACATAGATTGAAAAAATCCACAAATGGAGAGAAAAGATTAGCAGGAACATTTCCCTTTCAATCGGCTTCCGCTCATTGAAGGCTCTGAGGGTAAAAGCAAGTAGCCCCAAATACCCTTAAATTCCTTCCACTAAGTTAGTGATTCTTAACCTGAGGCTCTGGAGAAGTGGGGAACTTGAGCAAAGTGTGTGAGTATGTTAATTCAATACTCTGAAAGAATAAAAGCTAGTATTACGTAACTTATTTTTCTTTAAGTGGACTCTACATAATGAGGCTATGCAGCTCACTATCCTGGAAGGTTAGCAAGCACCATAATGACCAATAATGTGAGGGAAGGTGTTTTAAGTAAACAAGGATAGCAGGCATGCCACAATGAGCATCACCAGCTATGAACAACAGCTCAGAATAGGGATGTTAAGGACTAGTCAACTATCCAATAAGCAAATGGGGACTCTTCAAAGCTGGCATGCCGGGTGCAGCCTGGAATCAGCAGAACTTCCCTCTGGTCCTGAGTTACACATGGAGCTAGGCATTCCTCCTCTGAAATGTACAACAGCTAGGCATTCCTCCTTTGAAATGTACAATGTGGGTTCTTATACATTTCAGAGGAGGAATGCGGAAGTGCCTATCGACAAGTCGATGGAAATTCCATTGACTACTCAACTAGTAAATGAACCGTTACTTAACATCCTTAGCTCAGAGTAGGGATGTTAATGGGTAAATGGGCGGGAAGCAGCCAGAAAGGAGTGGGCCTCTCGCCTTCTCCCTTTTAACAAGTTAACCGGTTAACTAATTAAATGGGATTTTACATCCTTTAGAGCATTAGGAATGACTGTTTTCACTCTTTCAAATCAGATCTCAGATGGTCTGAGCAAAATTATCTCATCAGTAAGACCAGAGATATTCCTGGTGAGATAATTTTGCTCCTGAAGTATACACTGTTCATTTCTAAAGAGTTGGGAATTAAAAATTTTCATCTAAATGTAGGTAACAAATGAAAACATAATCCAAAATATTTAATATAATTACATTTATGTATACATACCACTAAGTCTTGGTCTTGAAGTAAGTTACGAATTGCCTCATATAACATTGGTCTTAAGTCGGATTTGAATTTTACAGAAATCCACTGTCCAATCAGCCAAATTACTCGCCGGCGTATTGGCTTATACCTTAAAAAAAAAAATTATTATGCTAGTATTTTACTATCCTAGTTTTGTCGGAACAGGGAATATCAGTCCCCTTGTGGCTGTGCTGCCACCAGGCTAGGGCTCCAGCCTTCCCCAGGTGCTGCCTCAGCTACCGCGGGGGTATCACCGGCCCTGCTAATGCCAGGGCCACAGCACCACGGCCAGAGCTCCACTGCCGGGGAAGAGCTCTATAGCTGTCCAACTCCACAGCCTGGCCCAGAGCTCCTTGGCTGCCGCTGAAACTGGAGTTTCCCAGCTGCTAGTGCCAGAACTTGGCTGGAGCTCTGCAGCTGGGAACAGGGCTGAAGCTCCCTGGATGTCACTCAGGTTGGTGCTCCCTGGCCGGAGCCAGAGGTCCACTAGGGCCAGGGAGCTACACTGGGGCTAGAACTCCCCGCCATGCTGTCCTCCCCTAGCACCAGCACAACACACACTCTGGCCTTCAGACTAAGTTGCTGGTGCCCCTTATGGTGCTCCTACCTCACCAGACCACAGTGGGCACGGATGTTGCCAGACCAGGGAGTCCCAGTTAACGGAGATAAAAATTGTATGGACAAGTATTACCATTTTGAATATCTAATTTGTGTCCACTGTTTCTACGACAAAGGATTAATGGATACAAATCAGATATCTGAAATGGTTACACAAAGAAGCATGTTCAAGAACGTTTTTAACTTGTCCAGGCACTCATTAATGGATTAAAAGGTAGCTATTCTCTTACAAAACAATTTCAGTAATCAACTAAAGAGAGAAACTGCGGAACCAGCCTTCATATGCAAATTTGGTACTCTCTTCACATGGCATGAACTGGATGGGCCATTATACTCAACACCCAAATACAGTCCACTCTATTAACCTCGTTTAGCAAAGACACTTTAATTGACACAAGACAGGACTATGCAGCACTTTAAAGACTAACAAGATGAGCTTTCGTGAGCCAGATCCACTTCCTCAGATGAAATTGTGGAAGAAAATTGGCATGACCATATATACCAAAGGGATGCAATAAAAAAAAAAGTGAACACATATAAAATTGACAAATCAGATTTTAGAACGGGGGTGGTGGGTGTTTGGGTACGATGTCCATCTTTTTACACTTGGATAGAACGATGATGCCTGTCTGGATCTGTGCAAGTTTTTTCATATGGTTGATGAATTTCCATTACAAACGGCTAAATGTAGTGGCTTGCATGGCTAAATGTAGTGCCATGTCCCCCTCTGTTCTAAAATCTGATTTGTCAATTTTATCTATTTTTTTTCCTGCATATTTATACCTGCCTCTGGAAATTTCCACTACATGCGTCTGACAAAGTGGGTCTTTGCCCATGAAATATTATGCTCCAACACTTCGGTTAGTCTATAAGGTGCCATAGGACTCCTCGCCGCTTTTGCAGATTTAGACTAACACGGCTATCTCTCTATTACTGTATTTTACATATTTTCCCCCCTTTTTTCCTTCCCCCCCTTCTTTTTCTGCTTTATATTTCAAACTCTGGGCTCCTTGCTTCTTATTTATCATCTGAAGACATGGGTTGTGCCCATAAAAGCTCATGATACTATTTATATATTTTTTGTTAGTTTCTAAGGTGCTATAGGACCATTGTTGGGTTTTATAAATCTTTTCAAATGGTTTTATGAGCCTTTTCCTGTATCATGAGGAAACAGACATTCTTATCAATAAACTAGGGGAATGCAACCTAGATGGACTATTATAAGGTGGGTGCATAACTAGCTGGACAACCATTCCCCAAGAGTAGTTATTAGCGGTTTGCAATCATGCTGGAAGGGCATAACAAGTGGGGTTCTGCAAGAGTCTGTTTTGGGACTGATTCTGTTCAATATCTTCATCAAGGATTCAGATGATGCCATAGAGAGTAAGATTAGTAAGTCTGCAGATGATTCTAAGCTGGGAGGGGCTATACATGATTTGGAGGATACGGTCAAAATTCAAAAAAATCTGCACAAACTAGAGAAATGATCTGAGGTAAACAGGATGAAGTTTAATAGGGACAAATGCAAAATACTCTATTTAGGAAGGAAAAATCAGTTTCACACATACAGAACAGGAAGTGATTGTCTAGGAAGGAGTACTGCTGAAAGGGATTTAGGGGTCATAGTGGACCACAAGATAAACACTAGTCAACAATACAACACTTGCAAAAAAAGGAAACATGATTCTGCAATGCATTAACAGAAGTGTTGAGAGCAAGACACAAGTCATTCTTCTGCTCTACTCTACACTGATTAGGCCTCAATTGGAGTACTGTGTCCAGCTCTGGGCACCACATGTCAAGAACGATGTGGAAAAATTGGAGAAGGTCCAGAGAAGAGCAACAAAAATGATTAAAGGTCTAGAAAACATGAGCTCTGAGGGAAGACTGAAAGAACTGGGCTTTTTTTAGTTTAAAAAAGAGAAGACAAAGGGGATATGATACCGGTTTTCAAGTATCTAAAAGGGTGTCACAAGCAGGAGGGAGAAAAATTGTTCTCCTTGGCCTCTGAGAATAGGAAAAGAAGCAATGGGCTTAAATTACAGCAAGCGAGGTTTACGTTGGACATTAAGAAAAGCTTCCTAACTGTCAGGGTGGTTAAGCACTGGAATAAATTGCCTAGAGGGTTTGTGGAATCCCCATCACTGGAGCTATTTAAGAGCATGTTAGGCAGATACCTGTCAGGCATGATCTAGACCGTGCTTGGTCCTGCTGTGAGGGCAGGGGACTGGACTCGATGACCTCTCGAGGTCTCTTATGGTTCTATGATTCTATGAAATACATACATTTTAACTTGTTCTCTTCAAGTGAAAATGTACAGTAATAAGGGAAGAAACTTCTGTCTCTTAACGTTCCCACACAATCTAGACACTAAAAGAGTGACCCATTTAATTCTTCCTTTTTCTGACCTTAGCCATTAGTAGGCCAGGAAACAATACACCAAAAAAGTCTCAAAACATACTTAATATCTAAATTGATGTTGTAATTCATCTTCTAACAAGTGACACAGAAACATACAAAAATGATACTACACTTTGGCTTCTCCTGTGTCAATGCATGCAATTCCTAAAAGTTGAAAGGTCTCACCTAAAGAAGCTTAATTAAAGGTTAGCCAGCATAGTTCTCTGCATGTTTGCGTACCCGTGCACGAAGAAATTGTGCATCTAATTAGTGTTGCCACACAGGCATTGCTGTGGTTCCACCAACTGGATGTCTCCCGGACATGAAAAATGAGCTGGAGTGGGGGAGGGTGGAATACAAGGGTAGGTGAGGGTCAGTGAGTCAGATGAGACTGGGGACTAAGTTTGGGGCAACCCATTCCCAGCCGGGCTACCTGCAACAGCCAGCCAACAGGCAGAGGAGCGTCAAACTCCATTTCAGCTCCAGCTAAGTTGTCTGAGGGGCTGGGAGACACTGAAAGTCCCCATTCCTCCAGCTACGTAGACGAGAGTCCACTTCTGTTTCAGCCCCAGCTGGGCTGTAGGGGCTGGGAGATATTGAAAGTCTCAAGTTCATCAGCACAGGGGAAAAGCAGAGGAGCGTCTAACTCTGTTACAGCCCCAACTGGGCTGTAAGACACTGAAAGTCCCAGCTCCAGCTGGTACTGCAGGCAGAAAGGAGTGGGGTTCCTTTTGAGACCTAGCAGGGGTCTGGGAGGAACAAAGCACTTCTTGTCAACTCATTTATCTGCTGTCTATATGACGACTGAGGAGAAACTGTAGGAGCATGAGAAGCTGGGTAGCCATGGCAACAGGGACGACCATAATCAGAGTATTGATAGTGATGCTGAGTGGAGGTATGATGAGAATACTATGTTGGGCTGTGCCGCCAGTAGTCTGAGCGCATGGGGGAAGCATATCTAGATGACAGTCTACTCCTGTAATGAGTGTCATAATGCACCGGGACGTGTGGAGAACATGGGGAATTTGGCAAGCCTCTTGAAGAAGGAGGCGGCAAATGAAAGGTATATCTTCTACAGGGGATGGTATCTGGACTTATGGTGCCTGGTTTGGTCCCGTAGGATATGACTCCTGTCATTCCCTCTTAAGCGGCATGAACGTGGAGAAGACAATGTAGAGGACAGTGCCAGAGAGAAAGTTAAGGGCTCCAGACTTATCCGTCTCCCCAAATCAGATTTTTTGTCTGCTTTCTTCGGTGCTGGTGGCCTGGACGTCCCATACGGTGCCGAAATAGGTTCATGAAGTGCTTTTGGCCATGGGGACATCTGAGCCAATGATGATGGTGCCAAGGTTGGCAGTGCCATTGTAACAGGCAGCAGGGTTAACGGTGCCAAGATGGACAGTGCCGTGGTTGTTGGTACTGTGGTAGTGGATGCCGTCACCGGCAGTACTGATCAGTGGGCTGGTGCAACCATTGACGGCACCGATGTAGTGTTTTGCTGGGATTTTGGCTCTGGGTCCAATTTAGGCCTGGATGTCAGTACATGACATCCTAGGTGCGTCACCCACACTTACATGGGCCGTGAGGGCTGGTGGTAGGGAACAGGTTGGTGAGGCTATTTTTCGAGCCAGAGCTGGCTGTGGAAAAACTGCTTATCTTTTCTCAGCCCTGGGTGATTGCGGAGTAGAGACGGGCTGTGCTAGCACCACAGGTTGTAATGCCTTGTCAAAAAGGAACATTTTTAGCCCCATTTGTCTATCCCTAAGTGCCCTAACAATCAGTTTGGCACAGTGGATGCATTTCTGAGGCACATGTGCCTCGCTGAAGCACTTAATGCAGTCAGCAAGACCATCTGAAGCTGGCATTGTGTCTCGGCATAACACATACTTCTTAAAGCTGGGAGAGCCTGGCATAGTGGTTAACAGTAGCTACCAAGACAAAAATAACCTCCTCCTTTTTTTAAAAAAAAAACTATGAACATGAACTACAACTAACTATCTATAACTGTAACAACTACAACTAACTATAGGTCTGAATTAAAATAAACTTTGATTCCTCACTAAGTTTGTTTGAGGAAAGCTTCAGGGGGTAGCCAAATTAGTCTTTACAGGATAAACTTAAAAAACAACAAATGGTCTGGTAGCACTTTATAAACTAACAAAACATGTAGATAGTATCATGAGCTTTTGTGGGCATAGCCCACTTCTTCAAATGACTAGAGTTTTGAGTTTAGGATGTGAAGACCCAAAATAAATAGAGGAAAAGGGAGAGGGGAAGGGAAAAAGAAAAGGAGGGAGGGCAGGAAACAAGGAGCAGAGGGTATGGACATATCAAAGGGAAAAACGGGAAGGCAGAAATGGGAATAGTAAGCACCTGAAGATTTGTCTGAGGAGAGAAGGCTCGTTCCATCTGTGACTGCAGGCGGTGCTAGTACGCCCCCCCAGCAGACTAGGCTTTTCTCCGGACGCCTGTGGCAGAGCAGCTGGGGCGCTGCCGGTTGGTCCCTGCTCTGCCCGGGGCTTCCTGGAATCAGCTGCTGATCAGTTTCAGCAGCAGCTGACTTGGGGACGCTTGGGGTTCTTAAATTGATTCTGTATGTAAGTCAGAACTGGCGGTCAGTTTCAGCAGCGGCTGAATCTGGACGCCAGTTCCGACTTACATACAGATTCAACTTAAGAACAAACCTACAGTCCCTATCTTGTACGTAACCCGAGGACTGCCTGTACTAGTTCTATCGTATGAACCATATGTGTTCTACAAATTCACCATGAAACCTGCGATAAACCTCAGACATACTATGCTATTTTCATTTCTCAGTAGATAACCTAAACTCCCTCTCAGATTTCCACCACTTCTGTCTCCACTCTCCATCCATCAAATTCTCTCTAGAACAGTGTTTCTCAAAGTGGGCCGCAGGCCTGTCTGGGGAAAGCTACTAATGAGCCCACATCACTTCGTTACCTAACGGGTCCATAGCCAACAGGCCCACACCACTTTGTTTATGTGAAGGGTCCATATCCATGAAACCTCATGGCTCCCATTGGCTCCAGTTCGCCATTTCCAGCCAAGGGGAGCCACAAGAAGCTAGCGGCTTTCCCAAAGTTTTTGAGGAATGCTTTAGAGTATTCCCACATCTACATCAACTTCCAAGACACCATAGTCAGTTTCAACAATGGAATCCTACAGATAACTAACTATGTATCAGAAACCCTCAGATTATCACGCTTCCCTTCTCAGATCCTGTAACCACCCCAAAACATCAAGAAATATGTTATCTACAGCCATGCACTCAAATACCATGTTGCCATTCTCAGGTAAAAAAATCTTCAAAAACAAACTGCAATAAGAAACTGCTGAGCTGGAATTTAAATGCAAATTTAACATGGTCAGAAAAGAGGTTTAAATAGAAACATGGAATGCCTCTCTCCAATAGGTAATTCCTATTGGACATGAGCCACATCCACTCTGATTTAATTAGCACTGATGTCACACTCCCATCTCTGCATCTGTGGGGTTTTTTTTTCCCTTTTCTTTTCACTGAATATATTTCTGTGAGTTTAAATGGGCTGGCAGGGTGGGAGAACGGCTGTGGTTAGCTACTACTACTATGAAGAACTTGTATGTGAATTAAACTAAACTAAGATCAAATTTAAAACAGAAGAGTACACTGATATTTTGGCTTAATGCCTGTCTCAAAGTGAGTTGAATTATTAAAGATATTATTTACTCTGCTGAGAAAAATTTAATAAAACTCACCTGTATAAAAGAATAAATGTGTACGTTGATATTTTACAACAAAACTCAAAAGTAATTATCACATTCAAAAACAGAAGATCAAAGGTGAAGGTCTTCAGGAAGTTCATCCTTTCATGTACACATCAGTCATCAGTAAACATTTTATATATCCCTGCTTATTTAGCATTTACTATTAAACAATATTCACCGGAGCTGCTTCATACCACTTGTTTCATACCATATTTTAAGAGACTTGAATCAACACATTACTTAAACAACCAAAATACAAAGAAAGATTAAGATACGTACCTATTATGAGAGACTTGCAGCTCTGCTAGTAGCTGGTTTTTAAACCACAGATCAAAATCCACACTGTCAAATAGCTCATAAGCTGCCAGCCCAACTGCATTATAGACTAGAAAAATACGCAGAGATGTTAGGCTTTTTTCTACTCAAACTTGACTAAAATTCTAAAATGACAAAATCTTACAAATTTCCTCAGAGTTCTTTTTAATTGCAATAAATTCAGTTCTCAGGAGAAGCTGTGTCATGTAGTGTGTTCACAGCTGTTAAAGGAGTCAGGAGCTATATGGCTGTAAAACTAACTCCACCAATGATTCCATCAGATGTCTTAGACAAGCCATCTGTCCTACCCTCAATTTTGTTTGCAAAATGGAAAGAATAATTCACTTTCAAAAGTATTAAAAAGTTCTATGTAATTACATATCCTATTTCTAAAATTATTGCCTACATATTCTGCTGTTTGAACTGCCCAAACATAGTGCTATGAGAAAATAATTTTGATACGTAACTTTGACATTTTGAAAAATAGTATCACAGACTCTTCCCAAACACTTTATAGAAGTCAGGCACACACAATAACCATCAGTTTTGTTCTTTAAAAGGCAAAGTGAAATTTAACTTACCAGCATCTTTAATCAGTAGAGCATTAGTATCTTCTACATTTGTAGGTCCTGCATCAAGTTAAAATAAAAGCAATTATAGAAAAAAATACATTAACAAAAAAGAATATAAGACCCATAATCGACAGCAAAGAAGCAAAACATACAAACCTAGAAGTAATACCACCTATACAGGCAGCCCCCGGGTTATGTACAAGATAGGGACTGTAGGTTTGTTCTTAAGTTGAATTTGTACGTAAGTCGGAACTGGCGTCCAGATTCAGCCGCTGCTGAAACTGACCAGCGGCTGACTACAGGAAGCCCGAGGCAGAGTTTCTCTGCCCCGGGCTTCCTGGAATCAGCCGCTGATCAGTTTCAGCAGCGGCTGACTTGGGGAAGCCTGGGGCGGCGCTGCTGGGTTGGTCCAGTAGCGCTGAGGAGCGGCGCTGCGGGACCAACCGGCAGCGCCCCAGCTGCTCTACCACAGGCGGCCCTCCCCCCCCCCAGCAGACCAGGGAAACGCGGGCAGTGGGATCGAGACGCGCCGCGGTCCTGCCACCCGGGTCCTCCGCTGCTTTGCTCCGCGTCTCCCTGGTCTGCTGGGGGGCCTCCCCCAGCAGACCAGGGAGACGCGGAGCAGCATTTCTCGCCCCGGAGAACGCGGGCGGCAGGACTGCAGCGCGTCTGGGCAGTCCCGCCGCTTGCATCTTCCGGGGCGAGAAAAGCCCCGTTCGTAAGTACGGATCCAACATAAGTCGGATCCGCGTAACCCGGGGACTGCCTGTATTTAAAAGGGTACTGTACTGTTAAACTCATACTTTTGGTTTTTTTCGAATCTCTAAGAGGAGCCATTCTGGTTAAGAATATATATATTGCTTATCAAAAATATTTCTGTGTATTACTGAAATACTGAATTTGTGACTGGAAAATATCTACAGTATGTTCACTAAAGAAAGCAAAGGGTACACAAAACCTGATTGTACCATATTGTGTCACCTTTTTATTCAAAATAAAAAAAACCTCTGGAAAAAATAGGCATTGGTAAAGAATATCAAGTTATGACTATTTGCAGAAAAAGTGATTACTTGGCTACTATCTACATTACAGTAAAACAGTTTGTTATATAATTAAATGTAATAAAAAGTTCTAAAAATTAATATATTTAATTTTGACTTTTTTATGCCCTAAACACAACTTTAGCAATGGAAATTCTTATGCTGACAAGACTTCAGGCCTCATAACTTCATTCATTGTAAACACACTTTACGTGGAAGCCCTACATTGGGAACCCAAAAAAGGTTTTTTGTAGAGAAGTGATGAATACTTCCGAATTTCTTGCTTTAAGGGAGCTAGGGATGTTGAACTGATTAACCATTTTAACTCTAGGCCTGCCACCCGGCCTGCCATCCAATCCCATCAAAGCCATGGGGTCCTGCAGAGGTTGTGATTGTTCTGCTCCCTGACCCACTAGCTCCACCACTGCTCGGGCTGCTCTGGTCTGACATAGCTGGCCTCTATTGGAGTTCACCAGCAAGGGCCAGTATACCAGTAAGCATATCAGTACAGTTTATATCACTAATAGTAATCTAATTCTGCAAACTCCATGCTAGAAACGTGCAATTCCTAGAATACCAAAACATCCAAACAACCTAAAATCTTAAATATCTAAGGCAGAAGCATAGAATTCCTGTCTGGAAGTAAAATCTAATCCTCAGGTAGGGATGTGATAGTGCAAACGTGTAGTTAACCAATGAATCTTCAAGGTTACATGCTGCCCCCCTCTCCGGCTTTTAAGCAGGCTCCCTGAGAGCATTGGCTGATAGAGGCAGCAGGGCAGGGAAGCAGGTGGGAGCCAGTATAAATAGGGAGCTGGCGAAGCCACCTGTCCCCCCATGCTGCTGCCTCTGCCTCCTGCATGCTCCACACCTGCCCTGCTTCCTCTATATCAGAGGCAGCAGTCAGGAAGGGCAGGCAGCTCCCTTAGAGCCGATATGTGTGGGGAGCTGGCTTAAAAGCTGACTCGCCACGTACACTGGCTCCTGTGGAGCTGACCCTCTCCTTCCCCCCTCTCTCCAATGTAAACATGTACCCACCGAAAATTTCAGCGGGTATACATTTATCAATATAAACACATTTTAAACATTTTGGCTATGTCTAGACTACATCCCTTTTTCGTAAAAGGGATGTAAATTAGACGTATCGCAATTGCTATCCCTTTCGGATAAGGGATCTTACGGAAAAGGCTTTATTTTCCGCAAGATCAGCGTCTAGACTACTGCTTTTTTCCGACAAAGCTCCATGCGGAAAAATAGCGGAAGCCATTTTATGCTAATGAAGCGGGGGAGATTTAAATCCCCGCTTCATTAGCAATTGTGATACGTCTAATTTACATCCCTTTTACGAAAAAGGGATGTAGTCTAGACGTAGCCCTGGGGTAAAAAAAAATCCTTTATTTCTGTTTGTTTAGAATTCACTTATACATTGGTCAGGGGTGGACAAACTCAGACCCGAGGCCTGATCTGGACTGCCAAGCATTTTTCTATGGCCTGCCCAGCTGATTAGCAGAGGTGCATTGCTTACAGTTGGCAACTAGCAGCTTGTGTTCAGCTGCCCCTCCCTCAAACTTGCTCTGTCCTGCAGCTGCTTCCAGAATTCTGCAAGCTGTGTAGGAGGGTAGAGAGGAGAGGGAACAACTGAAAGTCAGGGGCTTCCCCTACCCCTTTAACCCATCTCTGCAGAGCAGGGGTCATAGATGTAAACACACAGTAGAACTGCTCCAATCTGAAACATGTGACTCACAGGAGTGCAGAACAGGGGTAGTGGGTGACAACAGAGCAGCACAGATTTCCCTTAAAGGGACAGAGAATGGCTTCCCTCCGAACTTAGCCAGCACATACACATCCCCAGTCTGTGTCTCACACACACACAATCACTGACATACACACTCAGTCTGTGTCAGAAAGTCAGTCTCACTCAGTCTCTCTCACACAAACACTTTCTCTCTGTAGCTCCAGTCCCACCCCTTCTTTGTGAGGCTCCCTCCTTCCCAGTAGTCCAAAGCTGGCCCACGACCATGTGCCAAAATTTGTGAAGTGGCCCCCCTGCAAAAATTACTGCTCACCCATAGTCTAGGTGCACATTCAAAATATCTGTAACTTAGTTTTGGACATTGGTCCAGGTTGCAAGTTGAGTCTGATGGTGAAGAAATGGAGGCAGCTCCCTCTAATACCTTAGAAAGCGGACATCAGAGCCATCAAATCATATGGTATACATTGGCACTCCTTTGTGAAAAATGTTGGTGATCCAAAAATACAGGGAAAATGCTGAATGACCTCCCCTCACTACTAGCGCTCTTATTTCAGGAAAGAGTCCACTTTTTGATGACTTCCCGCTCAGAAGCGGGGCATATATTGTTATCATCTATGGCAAAAAAAAGTTCAGTCTGCAGGAAATCTCACAACAGACACTGTAGCTAAGTCTATGGACAATACTATAAGAAGAAAATCTGAATTAACCCTTTCATACTAAAGAGTGCAGCATTTTTACAATCTTCAAAATCTCTCTCCAACATAATGAAATACAAAGACAAGGAGAAAGATAGATGTGTTAATTCCCTAACTGGGTTGTGAAAACTGATACAGGGTTTTACAGTACCTCTCTCAAAATTTGTGCTTAGCTGAAAATGAAGCAGATAGAGCAAGCAAACAACAGCAATAGGGCTCAACTTCTGCAATCACCCATTAAAATAGGGGTGAACAAATACCAGCCTCCTAGGCTGGATCCAGTCCAACAGGGGTAGCCCTTGGCAGACACCCACATTGCCATATTTACTTGTGCCTTTGCAAGTATGAGGGATCACAGCTCCCATTGGCCCCAGATTAATATTCCAGGACAATGAGAAGTGTCATCGCCCACACCAATGGAGGTGCAGGCAAATATAGCAGCCCACTAAGGGCTAACTCTAGTGACCTGCGCCATTTTATTGCCCATCCTACATTAAAATGTCTTCACTCCCGATCATACTGTCAACTGTTAGTATGGGTCTACAGATTCTTCAACCAGGGCCTACCCGAGCCCCCCGTCACCCAGCGCGGCCCCACCCTGGGTGCGCAGCACATGCGTGGCCCCACCCCCGGGTGCCCGGCACATTTGTGACACCATCCCAGGCACGCGGAGCATGCACAGTGCCGTCTTTCCCGGCCCGGCAGTCCCGCGTGGCACCCCAGGCGGTAGCCCAGTCAGCCCATAGCTTGGGCCGGTTCTGTCTTCAACTGCAGTCTATGGGGAACACTGCTAGTCTATGGGGAGAGCTGGCTGACGACAAAGGCTTCCTGTTCCTCCTTTCCAACTGTTAAATGACAATGAAATACAGCTAACCATATACAAACATTTTCCATTTGTCATAAGGAACGGTTATAAATATCATATAAATATTATATTGCAAAGTACAAATACAAAGTACTCCACTTAGATGGAACAATCAGTTTCACACATATAGAATGGGAAATGCTGCAGAAAGGGATTTAGGGGTCATAGTGGACCACAAGCTAAATATGAGTCAACAGTGCGATGATGTTGCAAAAAAAGCAAACATGATTCTAGGATGCATTAACAGGAGTGTTGTGACCAAGACACAAGAAGTCATTCTTCTGCTCTACTCTGCGTTGATTAGGCCTCAATTGTGTACAGCTCTGGGCATCACATTTCAAGAAAGATGTGGAAAAATTGGAGAAGGTCCAGAGAAGAGCAACAAAAATGATTCAAGTCTAGAAAACATGAGGGAAGACTGAAAGAATTGGGCTTGTTTAGTTTAGAAAAGAGAAAACTGAAAGGGGACATGATAGTGGTTTTCAAGTATCTAAAAGGGTGTTAAAAGGAGGAGGGAGAAAAATTGTTCTCCTTGGCCTCTGATATTAGGACAAGAAGCAATTGGCTTAAATTACAGCAAGGGAACTTTATGTTGGATGTTAGGAAAAACTTCCTGTCAGGGTGGTTAAAGACTGGAATAAATTGCCTAGGGAGGCTGTGGAATCTCCATCACTTGAGATATCTAAGAGCACATTGAAGAGACATCTATCAGGGATGATAAACATTGCGTGGTACTGCTGTGAGGGCAGAGCACTAGACTGGATTCTATGATATTACTGCAAACAAGAACAGAGAGAATTTTTCAATACAGAGTACAAAGGTTACCATCATGAAGAGTATGGGGAGGCCTGCTAACACTAGTAGGTCAATTGTGAAACTCAGAATCTGAAATGAAGTCCTAGTTATTTTCAACTTGGCCAAGAGGACTTTGGACTAAAATGGATTGACCTTTTCTAATGGAAGATTCTGCACCTCGCCTAAAACATCTGGAATGACTGAAAAGGTCTAGCATCATCTCCTAAAAATATATTCTGTGGCTTTTGCAGTGATGTCATATACACCATATAACCTTTTAGAGTACTTAAAACAAATCAAGGATTTTATAGTAAGCCCCTTGTAAAATTAATTGCGGGACTTATGAAGGTAGTCAATAGCTTGTAGAAAATCCTGTGAGTTCTACATATTCATCAAAGTACAGACCTTACTGCAAATTTTACCCCAGCTAAATATATCTAACCATGAACAATGAATAACCTCCTATTCAGTTCTCAAATCCTATGCTGTATACATAGCTATTAAACATACCACTCAGTATAAAAAGTCCAGTATATTAAAAACATTTTAAAAATCTTACCTTGTAGATTGTGAACCATTTCTAAAAGCACAGGAGTAAGGGTCTGATTATATTCATGGAAAATATCAATGAAAAGAACTTCAGTGCATGGCTGAAAAAGTTAAAAAAAAAATCTATCATCAAACCTAAAATTAGGCTAAACTTGTCTTACTGAATTTACAATTCATTTATTTATATTTAAAATACTAAATACTTCATCAGGAAAACACTCCAAAAAATACAGCTTACTGAGAGTAATTTTGTTACAATATGGCTTTATCAATTAGAGCTACGGATGTGAAAGTGTCACCATATACACAGTGACCTTGCAGTCCTGCTTCTGTATCAGAGGAAGCAGCACGGGGAGTCGGTACATGCGAGGAGCAAGCTTAAAAGCCGACTTCCCGTGTGCACCACCTCCTGGGAAGCCAACTGCTGCCCCATGTGTAACCACTGACATTTTCAGTGATTACACAGTAACTTAATTGCATGCATTTTAACACATTTACAATGTAAGGTTTCATTGTAAGTTTGCTGATCAGTTACTAAATAAATAAAAAAAAGAGAGAAATACAATTAGTCAATTTTTACTCCTATCGCACTCGTGATATGAAAGTTACTCATCTTATGCAGTAACTGGAGTTTTTTGAGATGGTGTCTCCGTGGATGCTCCACACTTGGTCTTGGTGCCGTCCCAGCACCTGGATTGGAGATTTTGCAGGAGTCCCTGACGGGCCGCACATGCGCAGCACAAACCGGCACATGCCAAACTAGTTGACAACGTGTATGCGCGACCCACACCCTCCAGCTCCAAAGCAGAAGGGAGAAGGGAGGGTTGTGGAGTATCCACGGGGACACCATCTCAAAGAACTCCAGTTACTGCACAAGGTGATTAACTTTTGTTTCTTCTTTGAGAGGTCCCCATGGATGCTCCACACTTGGTGATTAACAAGCAGTTTCGCCCCTTGGTGGCGCGATAATGTCACATGTAGCTTGTGTAAATCTGGGTAGGTTTGTCCTGTCTGTCCCAGAGTGATCAGATTGTGTTGGAGAGGGAGTTTAATGGGTGTAAATCGACATCTTGAGCAGAAACAGATACTACAATTGTCTGGGCCAGGCGGAGGCTATCAGGATGACTGTGGAACCATCCGTCCTGATCTTCTGAACAACCATGGCCAGAAGTGGTATGGGGGGAAAGCATAAACAAGATCCTGATCCCATTGGATAAGAACAGCATCCCTCAACAATCCTGTCCCAATGTCCCCTCTCGAGCAGAATTGCATGCATTTGGTGTTGTGCGACGTTGCAAACAGAGCTATCAATGGTCACCCCCACCTGTGAAAAAGGGAGAGTGCTATCAAACAGTTGAGTAGCCATTCGTGATATTGGGGAAAATGCCTGATGAGAGCATCGGCTGTCACGTTGGAGACGCCTGGTATGTGGATTGCGGAGAGGTGGATATTGTGTCTGATACAGAAGTTCCACAATGATATGGCTTCAGTGCAAAGGTAAGAAGATCTGGATCCTCCCTGTCTGTTGATATAGAAGAGACAGGCAATGTTGTCTGTGAGGACACGGACATGCTTGTTGGCAACAGAAGGCAGGAAATGCCTGCAAGCATTGTGTACAGTGCACAATTCAAGGACATTTATGTGGAATGACATCTCTGGGGTTGACCAAAGGCCTTGAGCAGTCTGATCTTGGAAGTGAGCACCCCATCCAGTAAGAGACACATTGGTTGTAATAGTGCATGAGGGGGAAAGCTGGAGGAAGGGGACGACCGTGCCAAAGTTGGCTGATTATATCCACCAAAGGAGTGATGTTTTGACCTCATGCAGCATGGTGAGCGACAGTGACATGGGGTATTTCTGACGTTTGTAAATTCTGGAAAACCAAATCTGTAGGCAATGCGTGTGAAGTAAAGCATGCGGTACTACAAATGTTGTGGCCACCACATGGCCAAGAAGCTGTAAGTAATCTCTGGCTGCAGTGCGAGCGGCAAGGTAGATCCCTATGGCCAGAGTCTGGATGGCAAGGAATCTTTCGCAAGATATAGGCCCGAGTGGCTGTAGAAAATAGGCATATGTATCTAGGCCATAGAATCTAGGCAAACTGTATGTTTTGGGAAGGGTGGACAGAAGACTTTTCCCAGTTTATGTGGAGTCCCAGATTTTGAAAGCACTTTATGGTCATCGCTGTGACATGTGCCGATTCTGTCTGCAACGATGCCTTGAGAAGGCAGTCATTGAGATGGGGGAAATGATTAATTCCCATAGAGTGGAGATGAGCTGTGACTACAGCGAGTATCATGGAGAGCACACGAGAGGCCATGGAGAGACCGCAAGGTAGAACTTGGTACTGGTAGTGGTCGTTTCCTACCATGAACCTCAGGAATTTTCCATTAGCAGGATGGATTAGGATGTCAAAATATGCATCCTGGAGGTTGAGGGCTGAAAACCAATAGCTTTGTTACAGTGCCAGGATGATGATGGATAGAGCAACCATGCGAAAATGTTGCATTTTGACAAATCTGTTGATCTTGCATAGATCCAAGATTAGCCTCCTGACTTCTTCTGAGTTAGAAAATAGCGGGAATAAAAGCCCCTGCCTCTGTGCTTGTGTGGAACTGGCTCTATGGCTCCCAGATCTAAAAGACGAAGCATCTCTTGAAGGGTCTCATGAGAGGGGTCCCTGAAGAGGGAAAGGATAAGAGGGTGAGTGGGAGGCTTGGAGAGGAATGGCATGGTGTAACGAATAATGTCAAGCACCCATCTGTCTGAGGTGATGTAAGCCCATTGGTAGTAGAATGGGCGAAGCCAATCTTGGATGGTTCCCGTGGTCAATCATGGCATCGAAGTTTGTAGGGAGTTTTCTAGGCCCTCGACAAGCATTCACATTTGCTTGTTGGCAGGTGTAGATTGAGGGGCCGAGCCCAAAGACTGCCATAGTCTCTGAGTCCGGGTCCTATATTTCTGCTAGGGTTGTTTTCCTGACGCTGGTTAAGATAGGAGGGGTAATGTGGCCACTGGTATGGTTGGTATCGGTACCGTCTCCGCCTGGTGCCAGTATATATCCCAACATGCGGAGTATGGTACAGTAGTCCTTCTTTGTATTAAGGACTTCATTTGTCTTGTCCGCAAACAGTCTCTCATGGTCGAATGGCAGGTCTTCAACAGTGGATTGGATTGCCCATGGGAAGCCAGGAGGCTCTCTGCATGACCATGGCAGTAGCCATGGTTCTGGCGGCAGTATCGTCCGTACCTGGTACTTCCTGGAAGGCAGCTCTGGAAATGGAACATCCCTTAGAAATTACAGCAGTGAATTGAGGTCTCTTTGCCTCGGGGGTATCATTGGCAAACTCCATGGCTATGTCTACACTTGCGAGAAATATGCAAATGAGGCTAACCGTGGACTATTGCCGAACCTCATTTGCATACCTAATGAGCCACCATTTTTGCAGAAGAGGCTCTTGCGCCAGAAGGAACTGTCTACACCGCCCCTTTCTGCACAAAAAAACCCTCTTGCACAATGTCATTCCTGAAAATAATCAGCGTAGCGGCATTGCGCAAGAGGGTTTTTCTTGCGCAAGGAGCAGTGTAGACAGCTCCTTCTGGTGTAAGAGCCTCTTCTGCAAAAATGGCGGCTCATTAGGTATGCAAATGAGGCTCAGTGATAGTCCATGCTTAGCCTCACTTGCATATTTCTCGCACAAGAAGCCGCGAGTGTAGACATAGCCTATGAGTTTGGAGTAACTGCAAAAGTTGTATTTTACTAGCAAGGCCGAATAGTTGGAAATTCTGAACTGTAAAGTTGCAGAAGCATACGTCTTGCGCCCAAACAGGTCAAGCCTCTTTGTGTCCTTGTCTGGTGGAGTGGTGCAAAAGCAGTGTTGTTTCGCCCACTGGTGCACAGCTTCCACTACTAGTGAGTTCAGTGCGGGATAAGGAAAAAGGAATTGTGAGGTATCTGCTGGTATGTAATTTTTTTTCTCTGCCCGCTTGCATGTGGGTGGAATCGATGCAGGTGTTTGCCAAATTGTGTTAGCCAGTTCTAAAATGGCAGGGTTGAAAGGTAGCACACTCTTGTAGGATGGAGCAGCCTGGAGTATGTCCATGAGCTCATGCTGGGGTTGAGCCACCTCCGCTGTGGCAATTTTGAGCTCAGCTGCAAAGACTGTTAAAGTGCTCCAAGTCATCTGTGGCTGATGGCGGCGGTGGCATAATTGCTTCGTCCGGTGATGAAGACAAGTTAGTGGGTGGTGAGGAATCAGGAGATGGCTCCTCCATTGCTTGAGGCACCTCCAAGTGTTGCATAGATGTGGATGTTCTAGGTGTAAGAGAAACAGTGTGTTTGTGATGTCTCCTGTTTGAGCCCCAAAGACTCCAATAAGGCCATTGTGCTGGATACGGTACCGGAGGAGGCATCCAGTGGTGACCATACCAAGGAGGAATTGTCCTTGGGTCATACTGGGGCTTGTAATACTGCATCGAAGGATTGCAATGCAGAGAGAAAGAGGCTTGTACTTCCTCTTCATCATCACTGGAAAATTGTGACGGTACCGGAGACAAAGCTCATGAAGTTGTCGATACCAGCGAAGCATCGGTGCCAAACAGTGGTGATTGAGGGGTAGATGTAATTGTCAAGTCCTCGCTCCACATATACAGCAACGGGGCTGCGAGGATCAGCACTGCTGTTTGTAACGTAGGTCTGTATGGTGCCAATGGAGTATTCGGCACAATGGCAAGGATCTTAGGTATTTTAGCAGCACCAAGTATATGAGCGGTGCCAATGATCTGATCAATGCCGACGAACAAGTGGGCACCATCAGTGCAGTGGAAGAAATCGGTGCCATAGAGCTCGGTGCCGTTAGTGGCATCAGTGCCATCGAACTCGGTGCCGCAATCGTCAGTACCGATTAAGTTGTCAGTATCAGTGGTGCCTTAGTTGGTGGTGCGGTCTTAGGGCAACGGCTGAGCCCTTTGCCATCAGTGCCGTCAGCATATGATGGTGCCTGGACACCTGAGGTGCCCAGTGTGTCATATTTACTGACATGAGGTCTTTGCTCCGATGATTTAGCTGGAGACCATTTTCTCAAGGAGAACTATTGGTGAGGCACAGAGGAGCTCCTCTTTTTGGAAGCCATCTTGCTCTGTGGAAAGCCTGGGGGTGAATGTACCTCTCTAGGCTACCTTCCAGGATCCGAAGCCAGGTGCGTCTTCTTTTCCATGAGAATTAATTTGAGGCGAAGGTTCCTGTCTTTACAAGATCTGGCTAAGGCGCAGTCTGGCACAGTAGAGACAGTCTTTAGAAGAATGATGTTCTCCCAGACACCTGACACGTTGCGAGTGTCCGTCAGAGATAGGTAATGCGTCTCTACAGGAGACACAGTGTTTAAAGCTGGGCATGATGAAAAAATATATATATTTTTTTAACTATAACTTATCAAACTGTTAACAACACTAACTACCTAAAGTAAGAGTTAACAGCTAACAAACAATGGTAAGTGTAAATATGGCAGAAAACCGCAGAGGTCCGTCTCAGGCTGAGGGAGGTTGAGAAGGAACTGGAGGGTGCGGGATACGCATGTGCAGTGCCAACTAGCTCGGTGCGTACTGGTTCACACTGCACATGCGTGGGCTTGCAGAGTATGCTGCAAAAGCTCCGATCCAGGCACAGGGACGGCACCAAGACCAAGAGTGGAGCAGCCATGGGGACCTCTCGAAGAAGAAAAGTAAATTACAACTTTATTCTAGATTTCCAATATTTAACAAAGCTAACCTGTACTGGTTCAGCATGGCCTCCCACTTACCCAAATGGGGAACCACTCCCAAGCAGGAAGCAGAAGGATGGGACTGGGACTATAAAAGCCAGGGCTGAAAGCTCAGTTAGAACCCAGTGGGCGAGCAAGGCAGGCGCTTTCCCAGGGCTCCCCAGAAGAAAGGCATGGCTGCCCGGCCCAGGAATGCAGGACTGGGTTGGACCACATGAGCCGCTACCAGACCCTGAAGATGGGCCAAGGCCACCCCAACCACAGCCAGACACAGAAGACTAGCTGAGAAGGCCAGAGCCCGTGCTGGATCCCAGAGTTTGGGTTGTGCCACAGACTGCCAAGTGACTCCTACCCAGAGCCCATGGACACCCATACATGCCAGCAACATCATCTCCAGTGGACCCCAAGGTGCAGCAGTTGAGCTAAGTAGGCTCACAGAAGGAACTGGGGAGTGGCCCAGGGAAAGCCAACCCCGGGGTAGCTGAGAACATGGAGGTCAGTAGGCAGCTCGTTGCTGTCAGGATCCCCGCTGACCCAGTGGCCGCCCGCGCTGCCACTATTAGGGCCATCAGCTGGGATGCAGCGGAGTGGATGGGCCTGCGTTCCCCCTGCCACTCCTCACCTTGAGGACACCTTTGCCTGCACCTGCAAGGACACCTGCTGACCAGTCTGAGCGTGGGACTATTTAAACTATCTCACTGTTTGTACAGTTTGTTTGGTGCTACCCCAACCTGACCAAGGGAAAGGCCTTATAAACTGTTTGCTCTGTCTGTTTCCAGACCTGGGCTCTTAACTGTTTGCCTGCTGTTCCGCCCTGACCCAGGGCTCGGCCTTATAAACAGCATCTCAACCTCCAAAGAGGCTTGAATGACTGAACTGCTTAAAACGTTTGCTTGCTGCCTCCCCCTGACCAAGGGCGTGGCCTCTGTAAACTGTTGCTTTCCTGCAGTCAGGTCTGAGCCCATGATTTATGCTACTGGTTATCTGGCTGCGGCCCCACCCTAAGTAAGGGTCCGAGCCCATAGACAGCTGCTCAGCCTGCAGACAGGCCTGGGCCTTACCTGTTAAATTATTTATAGACTGCTCGTTGTTTTGTCCTGGTTAAGAGTTTAACTTCATTGACGGTGGCTCAGCCTGAGCCTCTGAATGATTTAGCACCTCACCTTGATCTAGGGCCCACACACTAAAATTGCTTTATTTAGCCAGGTAGTGTACTGAGTCGGCGTGGCCTCCCACTAACGCGGATTATTACATAACCAAAATGCATTGTTTAAGGGGGGGTCTGCTCTATTTTCACTTAACATACATTTCAGTTCTTTCTACTGTCTTGCAAAAGATCTTTATACAAGCAGTTCTAAAACTACTAGTCTGTGGAGAAAGCTGATTGATCACAAAGAGGCTTTTGCTCTCTCGCTCCAATTGTTAAAATGCATTAAAAGGCTGCTAATAATATATATAAGCTTTTTTTTCTTTTTCTATGTAGCACAAGGAACTGCTGTCAACATCACAAATGTTATATGACTGCAAATAAGAATAGAGGTGACCCACAAATATCTCTAAAACAATGTAGTGCTCATTATGGGGGAGGGACAAGATAATCCCACTTCTCGTAGTAATTTAAAACCAAGACTTTGAAATGTTAGTGTTTTCTATATATTTAAAGTAGAGGGAATCCAAATATTAATGAAACTAGATACAAGCTGTCTCATTTAGGGTATTTCAGACTGCAATAAAAAGTACAGAGTACATCCATATGTGCACAAGATTGAGTAACAAATCCTGTATTCTAGTATGAAGTGATCAATAAAATTGGAATGTCTGCTCTTGAAATATGTTGCTGCTCTCATTTCTACCACCCTTCACTGAAGGGAAAAGAGAAAAGTAAATCAAACAATGAAGTCTAGAAGAACAGGGCAGAACCGTTTAGGGAGGGACTATAAAAAGCTCTTTGCATTCTGATATCCATATAATTCAATACTCTCCCCTTTTAGGGCTTGAGAGTGAGGGGGACTAATTAATTTTGTTTAATTCAAATTTAAACACTTACCCTGAGACTGTATTTCCAAGAATCTCCTCCTGTCTCCTCTACAGCTACAGTCCACAAAGAAAACAAGAAAATGTGTTACATAAAAATACAGTAAATATTTTAGTTACAGTTTTAAACAATATCAGTGAAAACATTATGGCTAAGTAAACATGAGATACTGCACATAGGTTATGAAGAGAATCTAAAAAAATTAATCTCTCTATACAAGACTGTACGAAGAAAAATAACAGTCACTTTCTCCTGTTGATCTTTCAATGGGCATTTTTCAATGCACTGTGGAAAGGGAACTGGTACATTAAATATCTTCATAAAATTAATCTGAAAATACAGTGCAATTTCTTACTGAAGCCTTCTGGGTCCTCTTCCCACATTGTCAATTCTTCCTCTGTTAGCAGGAAATAGTGAGTGACTAATCTCCGACATATCTCAGTTAATGTTGGGTATGTGAAGAATGATGTCTTTATCTTATGTGCTTCAAGAGTTTCAGGACTGCTATCTGTAATGGCAATACACAGTTACTCTTCTATGATTTAACAATACACTAGAATCCTATTAATTGATAGAAAAGAAAATACTGGACTCATACTGAAAAGAACATTTAAATTTCCACAACTGACTTTAAGACACTTGCTAATAAAGGTCCCAAAATTCTTTATTAAGTAAGATTATTCAATCAGATGAATAAAATGGGTGAAAACAATGACTCACAAAGAAAGTCCTGACTGCTCACTTTCTGGTTCTAATTAAATTATTCACATTAAGAGTCTTTTCTGCTGTTTTTCTTCATAACCGAAAAATTCTACCCTCAGGATAGATTGTATCATCCTATCTTGTCAGGAGACACCATCTTCCCTGAATCAGTTTGGCTTCAGTTGGATTGGAAACAAACAATAGGAGGTGATGGCCATTTTGAAAGAGAGCATTTTTGTTGGTGGGTAGCCCTATAGCTACACTGTCACTGAGAATACTACAAAATGACAGCTATTGTGAAAGAGGGCAGTTCACTGTGAAATTCTCAGAAAAAAATTATCCTTCATCTTTGATGACAATGAAACTTTCAGTTATGAAGAATGAATATAAAAACTTATCGAATTGCATCAAGTTATGAAATTCAAGTGAGTTTCAAAGCTTTCCTCCCTTAATTCCAAAAATTAAATCATAATTATGGAACTACAAGTAGTATTTCCATAAGAATTAATGCTCTGTTAATAGTTCATAATATAAAATGTTGACATTCTAATATATGCTGAAAGATATCAAACAACAATTGAAGATCTGTAGTTTATCCTGCAACATATTTTTAAGTACTAGATAACAGTAGTTCTTCGAGATGTGTCTCTGCATGGGTACTCCACTTTGGGTGCTGGTGCATCCTTGCGCCGGCGACCAGAGATATTTCTAGCAGTGTCAACCATTCATACACTGTGGCGTCGACTCATGCCGTTAGTGTTTGTTAGGTGTATGCACAGCACAGCTCTCTCCGTTCCTTCTCTACCCATGCTAGTAGAGCATGGGGCTCCAAATCAGGGAAAGGAGGGAGGGTAGTAGAGCACCTGCAGGGACGCACATCTCGAAGAACCACCATTACTGCACAAAGTGAGTAAACTCTTCTTCTTCAAGTAGTGTCCCCGTGGGTGCTCCTCTCTGGGTGACTATAAAGTAGTAGTCGGTTTGTGGAGGTGGGTATGGAGCCCTGTCACTGTGGGTACTACTGCTTGTCCGACAGCCATAGATGATGTGATGGAGGATGCAAGAGTATAATGCTGTACAAATGTGTGGTCTAATGACCAAGTGGCTGCGTTCCATATGTCCTGGAGAGGTACATTTTTGAGAAAGGCAGTTGTGGAGGACATAGTTCTGGTGGAATGGGCCATTATGGTACCAGGTGGTTCTTTCAGTGGATGGTGTTGCATGTGTTAATGCACGAAGAGATCGATTAGGAGATCCTCTGAAAAGAGACCGCCTGTCCTTTGAATCGTCTGCAAAAGAGAGAAAAAGTTGAGATATTCTCCAGGCTCTTGTACAATCAATGTACAATGCGAGCGCTCTGTGGACAGTGAGAGCATGACATGCTATACGTGATGGGTCAGTATGTGGTTTGGGGAAGAGTGCAGGTAAGTGTAGCGGTTCGTTGATGTGAAAGGGAGAGGGAACTTTATGGAGAAATTTGGGGTGGGATCGAAGCATCACTCTGTCCTTGCTGAAAACTGTATAAGGGGAATCTGCCATTAGGGCAGCAAGTTCCCCTACTCTCCTACTGGAGGTTATTGTAACTAGAAAGGAGACCTTCACAGATAGGTATGTCTAAGAGCAGGTTGCCAAGGGCTAGAAAGGCTACATTGTTCGGTTCTTAAGTACATGATTGAGGTCCCAGATGGGAACTGGTGGGCGAACAGTGGAAAAGTGTTTTGTAGACCAGTGAGGAACCTTTTGGTGATTGGGTTCGAGAGGAAAGAATCACCCTCGGTGATGCGATGGAAGGCTGCTATAGCAGCCGCATGAACCTTGATAGTGCTTAAAGCCAGGCCCAACTCCCTAAGGTACAATAGGTAGTCCAATAGGAGCGGGAGGGCGGTGGTTTCAGGCAGTACAATGTGAATGTACGTTTAAATCATGGAGAAAACCTGTTCCGTTTATAGAGGTACAATCTCCTGGTGGATTCTCTTCTGTTGTTGATTAGTATTTGCTTTACTCTTTCTGAGCAGGTGTTTTCGGCATCCTGGAGCTATGAAGGAGCCAGGCATGGATGTGGAGTTTTTGTGCGGTTTGGGGTGGAGAACTGCGCCGTGATTTTGGGAGAGGAGATTGTGTTGAGGTGGAAAAGCTTATGGATCCGTTATCATCATTCTGTGGAGGTAAGGATACCATGTTTGTCACGGCCACGCTGGTGCGATGAGAATCACGCAGGCTTGTTCTGTTCTGATTTTGATGATGACCTTGTGAAGCATGGGAAGGGGTGGGAATGCATAGATTAACGGAGTCCCCCATTTGATGAAGAAAGCATCTCCAAGAGAATGCTTCCCTAAGACTGCTCTGGAACAGTAAAGGTGGCATTTGCGATTGTCCCTGATCGGGAAAAGAACTAGGTCTGGCTGGCCCCATTGGCGAAACACTAAACTCCCCATTCGTGGTGGTCATAGAATTTGCGACTGAGGACGTCTGCTGTAACATTCAGCACTCCTTGGAGGTAAGCGGCAACTGGGGTAATCTGGTGCACCAGGCACCACTTCCATAGTTTGAGGGCTTCCATACATAGGGACAGGGATTGTGCACTACCTTGCCAATTGATATAACACATGCAAGCAGTGCTGTCTGCCATAATGTTGATAGTCTTGCGAAATACATGGTGCAGGAAATGCCAACATGCACAGTGTACTGCTCTCAGTTCTAAAAGGTTGATATGGAGCGTTTGCTCTGAAAAGGACCATTTGCCTTGGACCATGAGGACTCCTAGATGGGCACCCCATCCCATGAGTAATGCGTCGGTCATGACGGTAAGTGTAGGGGTCGACTGATGGAATGGACGTTAAGATGTTGTGTGGATTCATTCACCAGTGCAAGGAGGTGAGGACCTGCAGTGGAATGGTGAGTGTGGTGAGCCAAGACGGAAGGCATCTCATGTGGAGCATTGCCAACTTGACAACATAAGTTGTGGCAGCCATGTGGCCTAGGATCTTTAGGCATTCGCGAACTGTCATGATAGGGGTCACCTGTGCTACTACTATGAGGTTGCATAAGATGTTGAATCTGTGTGCAGGTAGAGTAGCTCTGGCTGTGATGGTATCAATGTGTACTCCTATAAAACTCCAATGTCTGAGTAGGATGGAATGTGGATTTCTCGTAGTTTATTTGGAAGCCGAGGTGGAGCAGGAGGCTCACTGAAGTCTCAATCATGTCCTTTGCCTCTTGGAAGGACATGCCTTTTATGAGACAGTCGTCTAAGTATGGAAATATTATGACTCCCTAACAACATATGCATTCCTCTACGATGGCTAGTGTTTTGGAAAACACCCTGGGAGCCATTGAAAGGCCACAAGGGAGCACTCAGTATTGTTAATGGTGAAGGCCCACCATAAATCGTAACAATTCATCCTGCCCACAGGCTTTTGCTATGTGGAAATATGCATCCTGTAGGCCTAGAGCTGAAAGCCAATCTCCTTGATTTAGTGCTGGGATTATTGTTGCTTGGGTGACCATCTTCAAATCAGTGGTAAACTACGTATTTGCTTCCTTAAATCCAGAATGGGCCTCTACCCTCCGTTCTTTTTCTGTGCTAGAAAGTTAAGTTGAGTAGAACCCTCGTCCTTGGAATTCTGTTGGTACCAGTTCTATGACGCCTAACCGAAGGAGAAGAAGCGCCTCTTGTTCGAGGAGGGTCTCATGAGATGGGTCCCTGAAGAGGGACGTGGTGGGAGGGTAGGTAGGAGGAGGAGAAAGGAAAGGGATGGAGTAACCATATTGGATGAGTTCTAGGACCCATTTGTCTGACATTATTTGAGTCCACTGTTGAAAAAAAATGGGTGGAGGCGATGGTTGAACTGTGGATAATTGGGGGATGGTGTGACCACAAGGAAAGTGAGTTTCTGGCTCTTGACAGAACCTTCAAATTTGCTGTTTGGATATAGAAGGTTGGGCTGCCGGTGGTTGATGTTGTTGCTGGCATTGAGGTCTACATCACTGGGACCTTTGTTTTTGTCGGAAGTCATACCTTGGTTGTTATCTGTGGCTCTCTTAAAGGAGGGGCATGTACCCAGGGTCTGAAAGGTGGTGCGGGAGTCCTTCATCGAATGAAGTACTTTGTCAGTTTTTGCAAGAAATAAGTTGGTCTTATCAAAGGGCAAGACCTCAACTTTCTGCTGCAAATCCCTCGGCACCCGTGAACCCTGGAGCCAGGATATTATGTAAATCACAATAGACGAGGCTGTGATGTATACAGCTGTGTCTGCTACATCCATTGCGGACTATGGTGCAGTACGAAAGACTGTGTGGCCCTCCTGCATGATGTTGAGGAGGATAGGCCTCTTGTGTTCAGGTAGGTATTATACAAGGTCCTGGAGTTTTGCATAGTTGGAATAATCAATCCGCTAACATGGCGGTATTATTTGCTGCTCTGAGAAGCAGAGTGGCTGAGGAGTATACTTTATGACCCATAATATCAATTTTTTTTGTGGTCTTTGTCCTGTGGTGTTGATCTCATATTGGGTTGTCTAGATTTGTGTCTAATAGAATCAACTACCAGGGAGTTTGGGGGAGGGTGAGTGAAAAGGAAGTCCATTCCCTTTGATGTAATGAAATATTTTCACTCTGCCCTTTTGTTGACTGGAGTGATGGATGTCGGGATCTGCCAGATGCTGTCTGCTGGGTCCATAATGGCCTCCGTCCACTATGATTGGAGAGGGCAATCTTGGAGGAGGTAGGAGGTTGCAAGGTTCGCAAGAGGCAATATTGTTTTCCTTGAACCTCCTGTAAGTCTCGTTCTTGCACTAACGCCACCCTTTTAAAAAGTTCCTGGAACTTTTTCATATTGTCCGTTGGGGGCAGAGTGGTGGATAGAACCACCTCGTCTGGTGAGGACAAAGAATTATGGAGAGGGGATCTGTTTTCACCCTTTGACAGAGTCCTCCATCTCTGTCTGGACTGGAGAATTGGGTACTGTCATGGATGTCGTAGTTTGGGGGAGAGTGAGGTGGTTCCCTGGATGTTGTTCAAGGTGTAATATGGTAACTCTTCTTAAGAGGACGAGACTCCCATGATTAACATTGCCCAAGATAAGGTGGCGGCAGGTATGTGTAGTGATGCGCATACCAGAGGGGTGGTGGTGGTGGTGGTGATGGATATGCATACGTAATAGGCCCTGTACTCCAGGATGGAGCTCTCTGTGCTGGGCTGGAGTGCTGGGAGAAGAAGCGGCTGCGTGGCTTGGTGCCAGCTTCACTTGGGGATTGAGGCAAATTCGATAATCTGTGTGAGTGCACCAACTGAATGAAAGAGCATGGACATACTGGTGCCAGTAAAAGACAGCTCCTACTAGGAGAATTGCATTGTGGATGTTCCTGGGACAGTACTGGGGTTTGTGTAATACTTGGTGCCATTGGTGTAGGCGGCACCAATTACCCTGGAGGCGGCGTGTTGGCACGCGATCTCTTAGGTGCCATGTCTGGTGCTGATTGAGTGGGCAACTTCAGTGCCGAGCGGTGCTTCTGCATGGTAGATGGTGCCGTTTGTTTTTGTTTGGGCTCCAAGTGCGCCCTCTTATGCGGTGCCAGAATCTCGGACGATGCCATGCTAGAGGTGTCCACAGGTCTGTCCACAGTGCTAACCCTCAGATCAGTCGGTACCGAAGGCAAATATCTAGCTGGGGACAGTCTGCTTTTTTAAACAGATTTGCCTGAAGAGGTAAAGGGATGTATTTTGTCCATACCTTTCAGCTCCTATGTTGACTTTGAGGCAGATGATATGTTCTCGGAAGATGGCTGGACCAGCCTTTCATACAGGAAAGTTTTTAACCTGTTACTTCCATCGCAGCATGCTCTGGCTGTCAAGTTGGAGCAGTGAAGGCACGTTTGCGTCTGTTGAGCTTCTCCAAGGCACTTTATACAGGCAGAATGCCCATCTGAGACGGGCATAGAATACCGGCACAACTCACACCTCTTAAAGCCAGGAGATTCCAGCATTAGGTGCGACGAGAAGTGACTAACAACGGAATTTTTTTTTAAAACTGTGGGGGGGGGGGGGGGGTCTTAAAACTGAAAAATCTGACAAAACTAAGGGGGAGTTAACCATTTCTTTTTTTGTCATTTCTGTAGAAACAAAGGGGAGAAAAGAAGCTCCGTCTGCTGCCAAGGACACTAGAGACGGAACTGAGGGACCCGCGCCTAACGGACACTAATGAAACTAGGGGGTGCCACAGCACATACACAGCGGACACTGCTAGAAAAATCTCCGGTCGCAAGCATGACGATGCATCAGCACCCAATCTGGAACACCTACGGGGAACTACTCCAAGAAGAATTTTTGTTAACAAATTATCTATTTATTAGATTAACTTTTTTTTAGCTAGAGCCTCCATTTTGTGAAACAACCACATAGTCGGAATTGCAGAAAAAACATTACATTCAACAGCATGTTGAAACTTTTACTTTGATTCTATACCTCCACCATACTGCTGTGAACTAGGGTATACAGCAGAAACATTCTTTTATCAAATACTTTCCTAGCAAAAGAAAAAGACATCAATTTGATGAAAACATAAATAAACCAGGCCCTTGAACTGAACATAGACTCTTTATTTTATATGGCTAATGAAAGCCAAAGCAATAAGTAATTTCTCTATATTTTTACATGGGAAACTTGTTTTGCTGCATGTTTCTTATGGATTTAAGTAATAATTATATAACAATTTGGAGATTCTTCACTAAAGCTTGACTTTCACAGTCAAAATATTAACAAAATACAATATTTAGTAAATGATGTTAAATATGATATTAAGAATATTGAGGGCCTTTTAAAATCACTTATTAAAAGACATTTGAAATTAGTGTTGTGTCACATATCTGGCCATTTTTTGTATTTTTTTGTTTTTATCAGGGAGAGGAAAACCTGCTGAGGAAAGAGCAGCAGTACCTTCAACATGTTTAGATGGCTTGTAAGCATAATTTTTTACAATCATCTTAATGAGATTCATGCACTGGACAATGAATCGTTCAAATGCAACTCCTTCACCAGCCTCTGTGAAAACATAGCTTACAGCAAACTCCAATGATCTCTGAATCAGAGAGGTGAATGAAAAGGGATGTTGGTCCAGGAAGTCCAAAAGCTATAAAGTGAGGAAAGAAAAATATCACATGACTGAACTCATACACATTTTATGTGCACAAAGGACTTTCATAAACCATCTTGCAAAAACAGGAGTCCATTTTGTAATGTATAGATCTAACAAAATCTAGAACTATAGGGAAACATGACACAGATTGAACCTCTCTAGTCCAGCACTCTCTGGTCTAGCACCGTCCATGGTCGAGCAGATTTTAGTTAGCTGGATGTCTACTTATCATGGGTGTGGCCAAATTTCCAGCTGTCTCAAAGTTTGCTTACAGCCACCAGTCCTGGCTCTGAGTTCTATGCTGTTATTTAGCTCTAATTTACCTCTCAATGTTTCCTAAGAACCCAGTACAGCAGGAAAGTGATGGTAATGGTACTAGACCATATTGATCTCCCATAGTTTGGCAAATTCTCTGATTCAGCAGCAGTCAGATCCCAAGGTTAGACTAGAAAGGTTAAATCTGTAGCTGGACGCAAAAAATTAAATTAAAACAAAAATCACTTTTATGGTACTTACTGATTTATTCATTTTATCTGCTGGCAATCTAAATCTCATTTCTGAAACAATGTTTTGTTAATAAGAATGATAGTTTAATGAACCACATACTTTTTCAACTATACAATACTATTTAATTGTTAAGTAACAATTCACACGTCAGATCTGATTTTTCCTAATACAAGAGAAAAGCTAACCCCAAAATTAACACTATTCTTATTAGTAAACCACACTTTCTACCTGTTTCCAACAATATTTAAAGTACTGAACATTTACTTTATATGGTGCTTTATACCTGGATATTTTTTAAATACATTAGTGATTAAGTCTTGTTTATGATAAATTCCAGCTTCAGAAACAGCTTAACATTTTAACAAGCAGCACCAACCGTTAGCATTTTTTTTAAATCAGACCTACAAAAAAATTGCTAATCCTATGCATTCCAACTGTGACAGGTGCCTCATCATACCAGAATGCAGAGGGACAAACTGAGGATTTTGGGTTGTGCCTACAAGACAAAATGTTGTCAATCCTACCTTAAATATGAGAGGTTTCTATGTACCATGATCACAATAGTATGTACTGGGCCTTGAGAAGATTTAGGATTTGATGTATTGGGATGCTCTTCCATTATAATTGGATGACTTTTTATGTAAAAGGGTGCATACATGGGATTTTCAGTTTCTTTCCTCCACTTCAGTCCCAGGATTTGTTCCTTTAAACCTTAGTAATTAGTTATACAAATAATTTTAAACTATGCATTTTCAAAGGTGTCTCTGCAAGGTTGGAAACTTTTAAAAATAAAATCTGATTCTTTTTTGCAAGGCTCAAAAGTTTAGCTGGTTAACAAAAGGCTTGCATAAGCCTCTATTAGCAGCTGCAATCATTCTCTACTCTGAAATGCTTTGTAAGCAGCAGCAATGGAAGTTGTCTACTTGAATGGAGAAAGTTAAAAGCCTTCCCCTCAATATGTTCACTCCTATCTTTTCAGCTGCACTCTAGATGTGCTTTCAACAAACTCAATCTCAGCACAGGATTAGACTTTCATTCAGTTTATATCTGCAGCGAGCTTATTCAGAGTTAAGGATCACAGGAGACCAAGAAAGATAAGCACAATAGGTGAGACACAAAAGAGGAAGAGACTAGTTTCCTATATCAATCAGGTTTTGTTCAAGTACAGTCTTCTCCCCATGAGGCTTTTGAATCCATATGGATTAAAATTCTGTAGTGTTCTGAGATGAGAAAATTACTCACCTGTGCAGTATCTGAGGTTCTTCGAAATGGCTGTCCCTGTAGGTGCTCACTTTAAGTGTCTGCGCACTCCTGCACTTTCAGTCAGAGATCTGTAGCAACAGTGCCCTGGTTGGCATGCACGCACAGCCAACCATCCTCCCAGATCCTTTTCTTCCCCAGAAGTTCAAAGTGAAACTTCAGAGCAGAGTGGAGAAGTGGGGGTTAGTGGAGCATCCACAGGGACAACCATCTTTGTTCTGTCTATATAGAATGCAAATACTCTATAAACGCCCACAGCGTAAAGAGATGCTTTCCTGTGAGCATGTGTTTTAAGGAACAATACAGGTAAGTAGATGGTCTAGTTGAGATGGAAGGATGATGCCGCTTTGAGTGTGAATTTTGGGTGTGGATGAAGAATTACCTTGTCTTGGAGAACTGTGGTGTCAGATGGGTAGATCGTTAAGGCACACACTGTGAGCAGAAACTCAGTCCCCTTTACTGCCATGTAATGCTTCTTGTCTACACATTTACAAGAAGGCGGGGCTGTGATTGGCATCTATCAGACAGTTTTAGCCAGATCCACAATGGCAGGATAGGCAATGTGACCTTAGCAGCAGGAGCAGCATGGAGAATGTCAGTGAGCGTATGCTATGTCTCTGGCAGCTCATTCAATGAGATGTCTAAGGAATCAGCTACATGTTTAAATAATTCTTGAAAAGATTTAATGTCATCCCGATGTGGGGACAAGGCATAATTGTGAAGAAATATGGGTAGGCAGGAGAGTGTTGCCCTCTGGTTACATCCTCAAGACCTTCTGCTTCTTTCCCAAGGGCTTCTGGGGAGGCTGAGGCAGAAGGTGAAGATGATTGCTGATCTTGGTGTCCCAGATCTGGATTGGCTGGAAGACTGAATATTCTGGGCTCTGTACAATGCCTATGGACCCCATCATGGCCAGTTTGGTGGGAAGGTCATGGGGCTCAACCATTGAGGGGGATACCATGCTGTGATTTACTGCCACTTTTGGAAAGGAATGGAGAGGGGTGCATATTCCTGCGCTACTTCTTTCTCGTCCTTGAAGAGAAGAGGGGAAGAACCTGCAAGCATATTCGTCAGTCTCATGCCTAGTCTGAGGTATCATCGGTGCCAAAGTGAGGCATGCCTGGAGTGGAAGCCATACAGAGGTCGGCCTGTCTGACAAACTTTTGCAACACTGAGAACATCAAAAACAGTGGAAGAGATACAGACAGGTTGGGAACCAATATCAGTGATGTTCATGCTGAGCAGCAGGTGGTGCCATTGAGCCGCTCAGTGCCAAAGGAGGACTTCGGCTCCCTTGGTGCTATGGTAGCAGATTTAGTATACTATGTGTGCCTCTCTTAAGGCTAGGCCACACCGGGTCTTTTGCTCCTGGGGTTGTCTCAATGCCAGATGCATCCAGTGCCGAGAGTACTGGGGAAAATGTAGTGGTGGGAGATTGCTTTTTACAAGACGATTCTCTCAGAGGCAAAGAAATAGATTGTATTTTAGAGAAAAATGCATTTTGAATGGACAGGCTCCTTTGTGACTGTCTTTAAGGAGGAATCTCTGTCCAAAGCAGCAGTTGGTGAGTGCTAGCAAGAAGGGGTCCTATGCTCAAGGTCAGAAGTAATATACAGGGATATCTCTATGAGCATAAGCTTTAGCTGGAGTTCTCTAGCCTTTCTTGCCCTTGCAGTCAACTTTTTGCAGTGGTGACATGTCGGAGTAATACAGGTCTCCCCAAACAGTGGTCTTCGTATGTGTGGCTGTCTGAGATGGATATTGACAGTGTACAAGTCAGACAGCATTTATAGCTTGGAGAGCTAGGCATGGCAAAGAGAGACCATTTGGAAAAAAGAGGGCATGGGAAGAGTCCCTTCCAGGCGCTCCTAGTTTATTAGTCAATGTCCACCAGAGGCAGGGAGAAGGGGAAAGGTGTTGGTTTTTTTTAAATAACGAAATGGAAAGAGAAAATATTAACCCTGACAGGAAAATAATGAAACAAAAAGGGTAAATCCAAACATCGTCGGAGAGGCTAGTCTGAGGAGAAAGATGCAAAAAAGCAATTCAACCAAGAAAAGAAATGAAAGATGGATTTTTGGACAGTCCCCATACTCTCTGGTTCTTAGTTCAAATGAGAAAAAAAAAATGTGAATGCTTTGTCTGCAGGAAGCACCGGAGAATTACAGGCCTAATTATCAAAGGTACTGAGTGTTTGAAGGTTGACTTTCAAATAGAACTGCAAGTGCTTAACACCTCTGATGATCAGGCTCCACGTTTAAATAAGAAGTCTAATGGGCCAAAAAATGAAATCCTAGGAATGTTAGAGGTGATGCATGTCTGAAAGATAATACCGTTAAGCCTACTGACACTGTTTTCTTGCATAAGCACATAGCCCAGGTGCAAGCTGAAAATGCTAAACTGCAATTGAAAAGTCTGGGTTGTGGGGTTTTGTTGTTGGTTGGTTTTTATGTATACTAATCATCAACAGTTAGTTACCTAAAATTATCATGACCAGGGCTCGACAAATAACTGTAACTACTCGCCCATGGCAAGTAGATTTCAGCCGGTCGCCCCATTCACCGACAGCACACGCAGGCACAATGCGGGTCTTGCACATGCACAGTGCGGGGCTGGCAAGTAGGTTTTGCTGCCATTTGTCAAGCCCTGATCATGACTATTCTTTTTCTTTTTTTACTCACAACTCAAGTGAATCCAGACATTTAATGAAGCAGACAGGGAAAAATCTTTACACTCTCTTATATTAACTTCCTACCATGATCACTATCAAATGCTTTAAAAAAAATGTTTGTCAACAGCAGGCTCCAAAACAGTAGCTTTAAATTTTACTTTTGAAATGCATTTTAATTTTATTTTAGGTAAGAAGGTGTATGTTATATTCTGACAGTTCATAATGGCATACTGAGTGAAGCAGATACTCATCTCTTTAAGGAATATTTGTTTTGTGAGACTGATGCTATGAATGCTTCTTCATCATGAGTTTTAAAGTGTGTACATGTATTTAACTTATTGCGGACTAGTCACTCAAGGAATTGAATATTCTATTCTAACAGAATTGTGAACTTGAAACTTACCACTTTAGTGAACAGAATTATAGTCTTTTCTAGACGGTCTCTGCATACATTTTCTGTTCCTATTCTTCTACCTAGTAAAGCACAGATATTAGAAAAACATTTCTTGATCTTTGCTATATTTCATGATTATCCTCATTTGGAAAAATGATCTTTGGAGACATACACAATTCACTCTTGCTATCATATCTTCCTAATTGGAAATATAACAAGGTAAGCAGTTTGCACTGTGGCAGATGTCATTTAGTGGTGACAAATTCAAGGAAGAAAATACTGGACCAAAAAACTAAACTTATCAGGCATACTGCTACTTCTAAATTAACTAGAAGTGCTCAAGAAAGGACATGAGCATCATTATAGACAGCTAACAGAAAAAGCTGTCAAAAAAGCAAACTGCTACTAAGATGAACAAGGAAGGGGACAGAAAACAATGACATTTGTAATTTCATTATTAAAAATCCATGGCACACCCCCAGCATGGAATATTATGTTTACTTCTGACCACCTTATGGTTGGGTTCGAATATTGGTTATAAAAAGGATTAGTGACACACAAACATTTCTAAATAAGAATCTGATGATAAGACTGGAACTCTTTAAAAGAAGACACAAAAAAGAAGAGATATACCAGAGGCATGTATAGACACAATGAATGGCGCAATAAAGGTAAATGGGTTAATAAGAACAGAGTTAACAAAAACTGCATCATCCAATGAAACTGGAAAGCAACAAATTTTAAAGACAATAAAAGTAACCAGATTAAAAAAATACATAAGACATAATGAACCAGTGGAGCTAATGGCCACAAGCTATTATATACCAAGGCCTTAAGAGGCTACACAGATGGAGATACCTACAGGAGAACAGTCATGACTAAAATTGAAAGATATATTAAACACTCAAGTCTTAAAGCATAAGTTAATTATTAACCAAAATGGCAGGAAGAAACATTCCCTAGAGGTAAGTTGTTCACACTACTAACTGTTTAATGCCTACAAGTGCATTGTGAATCACAAATTCTCTGTCCTTAGACATTTTCCAAAATTCATCCATGGCAACCTCCAAAGAGAAGACTGAAATGGCTTAGTTTCTTTTTACATTCCATTAACTTTTTTTTTCTTAATATATATTTCTTCTTTGTTCTTTGGTGTATATGAGAGAGCTTACCTTTTTACTAATATTACTATTATTTGCCTTTTATTTTCCCTTCAGGACTTTGGTTATTTGGCACCAAAAACTGAGATCTATATTACTGAACATATTTTCTGTGTAGTAGGATTGAGAATGCATTGAAATACATACTTTTGTATTCATGAGAAAATGTCAAAATGCCTTGGACACCAAACATTTGTTTAAATATTAGAGAGTAGGGGAATCTTAATATTAATGTACTAGAAGAGGACAGCATGCTTCAAAAAAGTACTTACTACAATCCAGAAACTGTTTTAGTCGCTCAAATACTGCATGTAGAAATCCCTGAAAAATATCAAAGTCATATTTCAAAAATACCAAAGTGATGCCCATTTTGGACAGTATGAAAGGAGATATATGCATAAAGGTGTTATATGCATACAAAATATGTGAATTGTCTTTAAAGATCTGTCAAACTGAGAAGTCAGTTCAGAAGCAATTGCAGAGTTTAAAACTATTCCATACATCATTGTTAGTAAAAATTAAATAGAAAAATGTACTTTCATTATATTTGTATTTGAATTATATAATACACAATTGTTTTGATTTTTCCTATTTTATTCATAATCCAATCATTCAAGAAAAACCACATGGCCACTGCACCTCCAAAGCCAGTTAAAGTGTCAAACTATAAAACCAAGATTGGAGAATTCAGCAGGGGAAAGCAAGGCCAAGGATCACACTAAACGGTAAGATTTGCATCTTAATTTATTAACGAAGCTGCTAAAATGTAAGTAGGATTATCATTGACTTTAAAAAGTATCAATGCCATGCAGATCTGTAAATAGAGGTAAGTTAAATCTCAGCACGCCACTTCTGAAAGGTTGGCAATGCCTGCACTAGAATAAATTGTGCACCAACACCTACAATGAAACACCCACAAGGGACAAATAACCCTCTCATAAAACTGGAAGGGAACTTGAGAGGCCATCAAGTCCAGTCCCCTGCCCTCATGGCAGCACCAAGGACCATCCTTGACAGATTTGCCCCAGATCCCTAAATGGCCCCCTCAAGGACTGAACTCACAACCCTGGTTTAACAGGCCAATGCTCAAACCACTGAGCTATTCCTCCCCTCATTGCTCAAACTATTGTTTCAAGATTGGGAAATGAAGACAGACAATGTAGCAATTTCTATTTGGCTCACAAATAAAAGTTTTGAGCCAGAAACAAAAGTGATAACCTCCTCTACACAATTTTTTTAAAAAAGATTTAGCAACTCTAATGACCAATTCTACAGCTTGTGAATCCACTCCCACAAAACTGGCATAGTTTCTAAAATGTTGTAAGCCAGTGATCCCCAACGCAGTGCTCGCAGATGTCATGACGCCCGCCAGGGCATTTATGTGCACCTGCCAAGTGACCAGGGCCGGCCCGAGCCATTCTTGCACCCCGGGCGCCCAGCACATGCGAGACCCCTGCCTCCAGATGCCCAGCAGCCCCAAAAGGTTGGGGACCACTGTTCTAAGCTCAAGGCACCAGACACTGCAACTCCAAAGTTCAGGAATATACAGACACCCTTAAGAACATAGAAGACATAAGGTCTTGTTGATCCAAAGTTTACCACAACTAAGAGATGCTTATTTAAAAGCAGTCTCAGAATCACGTAGACAAGTTGCTTTATACATTTATTAATTTGGCTACTGCCAATCTACTCTTGAATAAAACCCTGAAGAAAATAAAAAAAATGTCTCATAACAAGGGTTTTGGGGGTGTTTTTGAAGTTGAGAAGTTATAACTAAGATCATTTGACTGCTTTGCAACAGCATAAAAGATAACATAGGTTAATTCGTTATACAAAAGACTCTTAAGCAAAAATTATATCAGATTACTTATGGTGAAATTTGAATTAAGTAGTACTACATAAAAACATATAGAATTTCAAATAACTGCAACATCACCACAAAAAGCTTTAAAGATATCATAAAAATATTTAGATTTCTAGTTCAAGCAAAATATCAAGCTGATAAAAGCTAAAATCGTGTTGTAATTAATTTAAAAAAGCTAAACATTTCTAAAAATACATGGATTTTGTATTCCAGTACTTCACTTCAGTGCAAGAAATCATTGTTTTGTAACATTATGTAAGGTACTGTGATGAGATACCAAAAACAAAACAAAATAATCACAGTTTTCCCAGAATATCAAGGGTTAACCACTAAATATAGCAGCTCAAAATTCAACCAAGTGCAACTTTAATCTAACACATATTGACACTTACAGGTTTCTAAAATTGATCACTAAAATAGTCTGTATGTTGAGAAGATGTGGAGTTTTCACTATGGCCAACAGCTTCCGTAAACTGGAGTTATTTCAGATTAGTTTAAATTGATTTAAACTAAACAGAAATTGTCCTAGTTTACACCAATGCAACACTATATACACAGATGTATGAACTGATATGACTAAGTTGTTTAAAAATCACACTATATATTAAATTGCAGAAACTTTCTCACTTGGAGAAGGCATGTAATTAAATTCATACAGTCTATTTTTATCCAAATCACCACATCCCTTAAATACACGGTATCATCATAATATATTAAGCTTATTGTTCTATATTTATCGGGCTTATCTTTTGATCTATCTGTATAGAATATAATTATGTCATTTTATACATTTCAAATCTCTCTTTATAATGGAGTGAAATTCTAACAATGCCCATAAAGTCATGGAAAGAATTTGACTTAGAACTAGAAACAACACATGTATCACTTACCATCACTTCTACATTCCGATGAGGTTCCACAAACCCATGAACTGTCAATTTACGAAGCACTAAAAAAAATACATTAATATGTTACTTGCACAGTCTATTTTTGTATAATGTTGTCCTGCTGTCCAGCCACCCAGACATCAAGTAATAAAATATAGGACTACAATAACCATTGCTATAAAAGTCTCTAATTATTCAATTATGGAATAAATTGCATTTATATTTCATCATTAGACTCATCACCTGCATTCTTGCCACTATAAGTCTGACAGTACTACTTTAAGGTAGAGTTGAGTAAATAATTGATTTTGTATTTAGATGGCTTGAAAAAAAATCAATCAATTGAAAATGTCTTTCAGGCTGAACAAAATATATTGTTCAATCTAAAACATTTTGTTGCTGGGCATTTTTTAAAGGGCTACATATACAAGTGACTAGAGGGGGAGGAGAAAGAGGTGTGGGTAATGGTGACTCCCACAAACTTTAGCCCACTTGTTAGGGCTTTCATCCAGAATGTGGGAGACCAGGGTTCAACTTCCCCCGATCCTACATTTGAAGAAGAGATATGAATATGGATCTTACATTGCAAGAGTTTGCCCCACACTCTTCCATTGTGTGTCTAAATTAAACAGCCACTGAAACAGACATAGAATCATAGAATATTAGAACTGGAAGGGACCTCGAAATGTCATTAAGTCTAGTCCCCTGCCCTCATGGCAGGACCAAGCACTTTCTAGATAATTGCTGACAGATGTCTACCCAACCCGCTCTTAAATATCTGATGGAGATTCTGCAACTTCCCTAGTCAATTTACTCTCATGTTTAACCACCTGACAGGAAGTTTTTCCCAACGTCCAACCTAAACTTCCCTTGCTGCAATTTAAGCCCATTGCTTCTTGTCCTGTCATCAGATGTTAAGAAAAATACTTTTTTTCCCTTCCCCCATGACACCTTTTTAGATACTTGAAAACCGCTATCATGTCCCCTCTCAGTATTCTTTTTTCTAAACTAAACAAGCCCAATTCTTTCAATCTTCCCTCATAGGTGATGTTTTTTAGACCTTTAATAATTTTTGTTGCTTTTTTCTGGACCTTCTCCAATTTCTTCCACATCTTTCTTGAAATGCGGTGCCCAGAAATAGACACAATACTCCAACTGAAGTCTAATCAACAAAGGGGTCCCATGTCTCAGATGAATACTCTAACCATTAGCATAAAGAATCAGATTCTCTCTCTGGCCACATGATTAATTATATAAAGGGGAATAGCTTCAACTCAAGGCTCTGAAAAAGACCCATCACGGACTACCAATTGATTAGAACAGTCTTCCACAACATAGGAGACTTAAGTTTCACATCCCTGCTCCAAAGACTTATTATTTAGTCAGGGTGAGAGATACCCACACCATAATATCTGATAGCTCTGATTATCAAATTCATGGTCCATTTTGGTCAACGTCATAGGATTAAAAAATAATAATAATAATAAAAAAAATCAATAGATTTCATGATGTTAGCTATTTGAAATTTCAGAATGTTATAAGAGTAGGAGATTCAAGTTGGTCAGCAGCTGCACAAACTGAGGATGGCATGGTATGGTATTTCTGCACTTCCGTTTGCAGAGCTGGGTCCTTGGTCAGCGCCTGTTATCCAGTCGCCCAGCTCTAAATTCAGCAGCACTGAAAAGGTGGCATATGGTATTGCTACCATTAATTCTGTGCAGGGGTCGCCCTAGACTAGCTGCCAGCACCTGGTGCCCTAGGCAAACCATGCAATTGGCACCCCCATCTCCAAACCCCTCAATGATACTGCATCGCCATTTGGCACCCCATTTAACTTGGGGCCCTA